CACATGTTTTTTGCCCTAGGTTTCCACTCTACACTGATCCACTAAGGGAGTGTGACTTAGGGAGCATAATTTCCGAGTCAAAAAACCCATGTGGACATTAAATTCCTAAAACCAAGTCGTATGTTGTCATAACGTTTGTTTACGGTTAACAATACAAGATGTAGCCTTTTTAAACACATGTACTGATTTGCTGTGATGTGTTATGGACGAATGTGACCTGTTCAATATTGTTTTGTGCCGTGATGATCAAATTGCTAAAAAGGTTCCATTCATAAGTTATACAATATTGAAATGGAATTAAATTCATTACACAACATAACATAGATCCAAAAAACATAACAATTCTGCATTCATTAAAAAAAGTTACATTACATCAACGACTTAAAGGAAATACATGAACAAAACATAATAACATGATGTACACCCTAAATCTACTCGTCATCCCGTCTGTGTCCGTCTCCGAGTCGTCCTCATCTGACACATGACCATCATCCCCTGCTGCCTCAGCTACCTGACCACCTCTTGCAAGCTCCAGACGAGCAAGCTTGTCTTCCACACCCTTAAACCTTCCCTGTATGTGTCTAAACCTTTCATTCCCTTTCTTTCTCCATTTTTTATGTGCCAGCGCCATCTTTCCTATCTTCTTTGTCATTGCATTTATGCCCTTCATGACATCACGCAGTGAAAATCCACCTTCAGGTTCAGCTATCTCCTCAACCTCAGCCACATCCTCCTCATCCTCCACATCTGGCTCAACAATATGGTCATCTGGGGCAACATAAGGAACCTCAACCTGGGGCATACCACTAAACTCCCACACACCCGATCTCGTGTTCTTAGTAATCTTGCACTGCTCCAATAGACGCTTTCCGAACTTGCAATTATAACCCGTGGTCTTCTTCAACAGCTCAGTCTCCATGGGAACACCAAAGTGAACCAATATCCTCTGTACCAAACAGGCGTATGGAAGATGACCCTTATGTTTGGCCTTAAACATAAACCAACAGATATAGTGCCTCCAGTTCACCATCTGGGCATGTCGGATAGCCCACATAATGGGAATGTCATGTTCCAACACCCTGGAATGATTAAAAGATCGCGGAAACAGAACGTGGGTGAGGACATAGTGTAGTATACGGGACTCCACAGAAAGCAACCCCACCGTATAGTGCAAGTGTTCCCCACGGACTCTTCTCTGCTCCTGCACGGCATCCTCTCGTACATATCCTGGAAGTACTACACCACTATCAGCGTCATACACCACAGTCTGAGAAGAGTCAAAATCATAGCCGAGTATCTCCAACCATGCAGGTGCCGTCATGATGATCTCTATTCCACAGACCCTCGACCTCAGCTCGCCCTGTACGTAGCTGAGGTTATGGTAGAAGGCCCGCACCATAAGCTCTGAATACGGACATAGGGTCTCGGCCAACACCCTCAGATGTGCCGCCTCCAACACCCCCACAATTTCAAATCCCTCCTTATCAAAAAAGGCTGTATCCAAAGATTTTGGAGCACATAACGGCCGGTTCAAATGGTCACGTACGAATGAAGCGTGGACGGCAGGGTCGTCCTCAAACAGATACCCATACGGGAGGTCAACAGTATCAGGCTCTTCGTCTTGTCGCCTTGACGAAGAAGGCCGCTCTTGCCTATGCTTGGTGCGTCTCTCAAGTGACTCATTGTCCTCATCGCTTGGTCTTCTGCGGCTCGTCATTTGTTTAGGGTACCTACAATGAAACATGTCAGCATTTAACTATATGAAACATGTCATGATGGTAATGAAAACTTGCAACATAAGCGCTGTAAACCAAAAGCAAACTTTTGCCACATACAAACTTTTCAAACAAAAAAATTCACACAATGCAAAAAAATAAACCTTAGTAGATTAGGGTTACAAAACCTACAACAAACGCTTTGATTAGAGTTCACAAATTCGGACAACAAACAAATACAAAAAATTCCTAAACCTAAAACACAATGCAAGTTAAGAAACCTTACCTATCCTTCAGATTTCACGATTTGGACCAAATTTGGAGGCAATCCACACGCCTAAGGGAAGGGTTTGGGGCGTTCTTCAGCTGCTCCTGCGGATTTGGGGTTTGGGCCGCCTCCTTAGTCGATTAGGTCATCCTACTCCCCCTCTGCCGAATGGGGGGTTTTTAAAAAACAAATCCGTCGATATTTAGTCGACTAAATATCGATACTTAGTCGACTGAATATCCCAAAAATGTAGTCGATTAAGATGATTTTTTAGTCGACTAAATTTGCGGTAGTCCACTTTCTGAAGATTGACCATTTGCTCGACTAAAACAGCAAGGTAGTCGACTAAAAGGGGGCAGGTTGGTGGATAGTTCTTGATCAGGGGCAAATTGGTTATTAATTAATTAATGAGGAGCAAAAGGGTCAAAAAGCCCCACTTGGTTGTATTATCAGCTAGAGAAAATTATCAATTCCAACCCCTAGTTTATTATATAAGAAAGGTTTGTAATATACTTTCTATCATTATTTTTTCAACACATTGTCTATTATGAATTGAAATGTCATGTTTGTGAGTTATATCAGCGTAAAATATACCTTTAATCTTAGTCGTTATTTTGACTTATATTTACTTATTATAATTTATTAATTATGTCGAATAAAAATAAATCAACACTTAAAAATAAATAATACATTTTTTTGTTCTTATATTAATAAAGTTGGCTTTTACGCAAAGATATCAGTACTTTACTTGAAATTCTTCATAGTGATCTAGCTAATCCAAAAGAATGCATCTTTGAAATAATTCATTGGAAATCCATAACTTACGTATTAAAAAATAACCACTTGTTGAAAGAAGAAAATTTTAGAGTGCTATTTTGGGAAATAAGGAATCTAAAAAACACAAGCTAACTAGAACATGGTCTATGTAGATACACTCCTATCGAGTCCATCTGGAGAAATCTTTACACGCCTCTGGTGGCTGCGGGAAGAACTGGGTGTTCCAATCATACTTCCTAATTGTATATTTTGTTACAACAGAAAAATATTATTTTTACAGTTACTGCAGATAAGTTATATTCATTACTATCAAAACGACGTCGTTTTGAGATTGAAAGATTAAGAAATTATAATTATAAAGACTATAATAACTTAAAATAAATTAAAATTATAAAAATACTATAATTTCTGCTCCAAAACGACGTCGTATTGGGCAGTTATATGCAGTAACTGCAGAAAAAGTGAACCATTTGTTACAAACTAACATTTATCTTAGGAGACGGTTATACTTACTATTATTTTAATCTTACTACTCTTACTATTTCATTGGTTGGCATTGGATCAATTTGATATCAATTTTTATTAATTTACTTTCACAGTATCATAAGATTATAACTTCTCTTTGATTTTAGTAATATGTTGTGTTCATTTTATAAGACTAATCAATGAAAGAAAAACCTCAGCGTTGAAAATTGCCTATGACTAACACGTGCTTGCTTATTTTTTAATGTTGATTTCTCTGACCACTTTCTCATTAGGTGTTTCTCCTTTAGCTCTACTCATTTCAGCATCAAGCTGCAAATTTCTTGTTCGTTATTTTGCCCCTTGATTGTTAGGTTTCATGTAGAGTTCGTTTTCCATTACAATCATGGGGTTGGTGGTTCATATTTTCTTGTCTACAATCCTTCCTTTCTTCCTCTTTGTGTTCATGATAATCAACATAATTTGGAGATCACGAACTCAAACTCCAAGTTGCCACCAGGACCAAAGAAACTACCTCTCGTAGGGAACATCCACCATCTAGGAACTCTGCCTCATCGCTCCCTAGCAAGATTGGCAAATCATTATGGCCCTCTCATGCATATACAGCTTGGTGAGCTTTCCTGCATAGTGGTATCCTCACCACAAATGACCAAAGAGGTGATGAAAACACATGATATCATCTTTGCAAATAGGCCTCATGTGCTTGCTGTAGAAGTTATCACTTATGGGTATAAGGGCATGACCTTCAGTCCACATGGAACTATTTGGAGGGAAATGAGAAAGATTTGTGCAGTGGAGTTACTAGCACCCAAGCATGTTGAGTCCTTCAGATCAATTAGGGAAGAAGAGTTGTCAAATCCTGTCAAGGAGATATCTTTGAGTGAAGGGACGCCAATCAGTCACAGTAAGAAGATTAATTCATTGGCATATGGATTAACATCACGGATTGCTTTAGGTGGAAAATCAAGAGACCAACAAGTTTATATGGATCTTATGAAGGATGTCTCAAAGGCAGTTGCAGGGTTTCTCTCTTGCTGATATGTATCCTTTCATTGGAGTTCTTCAAGTTCTTACTGGGATTAAGACTAAAGTTGAGAAGCTCCATCGAGAAATGGATAGGAGACTTCAGAACATTGTAAGGGATCACAGAGACAAAACTTTGGAGACAGAAGCTGCTGGTGAAGAAAATGGGAAAGATCTAGTTGATGTTCTTTTAAGGCTTAGGAAGAATAATGACCTCGAACATCCTCTATCTGACAATATTGTCAAAGCAACCATTTTGGTTAGTATGTTTTTGTTAAAAATCCATGCAAAATTGCAAAGATAAATAGATCAAATAAAACATTACCTAGCTAAGTTTTTTTTTTTTTTTTTCAATTTTTTTCATGGTCAACAATTGTTTGATGCGTGCAAAGTACGATTGATAATACTAGCCTTGAACATCTTTTATAGTATTGTCAAAGCAATAATTTATTTCAATATTTAACCTATAAAAACCTTGCAGAATTTCAAAATCTGGGTCATAATACTAGTCGTGATAGGTGCACTTCTTATTACGTTCATTTATATGTAGTTTTATTCTCTGGTTTACAGCAATTGGCTAGCTGCCAGAACACTACATATCACCTTATGTTTAGATGGAAGTGCTGGTTTTAAGTTATTTCACACTTAAATTGATCCTTTCCCTATATATATAATAGTCGTTCTTATCAGCTAAATTTCACTTTCACGAGCAATATACTGCAGAGAAATCATAGTGAAACAAAAGTACCTAATAAAATTAAGCAAAACGAGAACGTTACATCGTCATTTTAAGAAATCAAAATCCCTTGACAAAATCTCCAGCTACAAGGAAAAATTCATTCTCATGAAATAACTCCAAAATGAAAAGTAAAACGCACAAAATCTATGCATATTGAAGCTCATTGAGATTTCACATGCTGCAGAACAACATTATAGGCTTCATGCTCCTCCCCAAAATCCTGCAAGTAAGTCAAGAGTTAAATAATGATAAAGCAAGACAAATCACTATGAACAAACATTTCCATTTCAATAAAGTTCATACCTTGACAACCACACAGGAGCAACCAGTTACCTTCCTAGCTTTTCCTTCTGAATCATACTTGCACAACTGCAGGGATAAGGCCCGCCAGAATTAATACAAGAAACAATTAAATAAAACTAAGTAGTCTAGGAGAAACATTTAAGAGTATAAATAAAGAATAATCAACATTCAAAATTGACAAACAAAATTTAATTCCACAAAGGAATGAAAGTAAAATGGTTTACTGCCAATGACACTTACACCAGCCCATTCACCCAGGGTCTTTGCACTTGGGACTGTCAGCAGGCTAACATTGTGCTCAGCGCAAAGGGCCTTGACGAGTTTAACATAGTCAGGTTGGTCACAATCTTCCGCTAGAACACAGAGTTGTGCAGCGTGCTTCTCAATCACTTTTGCACCTTCATGAAGGCCTCGTGCCAGACCACCATAAACAAGAGATTTTTTTAGCACAAGCTGTAAGGCAGTCATTATATCCATGGGCTCCCCTGGAATACCAGCAGCAGCAGCAGCAGGGGCTGCTACTGGCTCAGCCGCAACGACGCCACCTTCGTCACTACAGAGGAAAAATATCATGAACAGAGGAACCCATAGAAGAATTGCTAGAATTGCTACTCGAAGAAGGATAAGCAATTAAAAGAGAGACACGCAAAACACAACACAAAAACTGAAGAATAAGGACAACTTAACAAACGGTCTGAAGAAGAATAAATTTTACAAGTTGATAAACATGTATTACATGACATAGTTCATGCGTAGGGCTCTCAAATCGAATTCGCTAACCAATCAAGTTCAATGTACAGAAATATAAAGTATAAACCCACCAGTTTCATAATATAAATAACAACAATAACTAAACTCACAGGTCCCTAATTTTAAACAATTATCAAAATTTTCACCCGAGGTTATTGAGAATAACAAATTTACAATCACACATAAAAGCAAAATAATCATACCCTGACATTTTTTCCTTGTTGATTTCAAAAAAACAAGCTTTCCTTCCTGCACCAAAAAAAAATAACAAATAAATAAAAAATCAGATCTTGTGCAATGAAGAAGCATTCAGACAATCAAACAAAGGCTTCCTCTACTATTTTTGAAGTTAATAAACTACTTGAGAGTGGGAAATTGTGAAATTGGCCACTTCCCTACTGCACCATTGAAATATGTTAAAATTAAATTGATTAAAACTGCAAACAATTGATTCGAACTTTACTCACTATTCAGTGATGTTTAAGACGACAATTATAACATGAGAAATGTAAGAGTTTGATAAAATAAAAGATTAGCAAAAGAACGAACTAACAGATACAGAAGAAGACGATGTCGCCGATATCAGAAGAACCCTAGAAACAAAGCTGCGAGTTTTAGAAACTGCATCATAAGAGAAGAACCCTAGTTTATATTTTATTCGCTTAATTTGGGCCTCATGTGTGCAGCTAAGCCCAATCAAAGAGGTTAAGCCCAAAAGAATTTTAAAAACTAAAGTAAAAAAGTCAAATTATCTAAAGTCTAAATCATTTGTTATCACAATTTACGTTAAAAAAAAATAGTAATCACTTATCACAACAAAGCGAAATTTAAATCTATGATGTGATGTGATCACAGAAAACCTCGATGAGGACAACCAAAAAAATCAAATACAAAACCCAACATTTCATTTGGACATACAATATGACCAAAAACACTTAACATACAAGCTAATCCCAAAATAAAATGATATTAATAAAAATTCACCAAAAAAATAACATTAATAGACAAGCTCTAAAATTATTTTCTTAGTTAAGAATTTATCTACAAATATACAAAATATAACATTTTGCAATGTACCAAAATTATTTTGATGTATATAAGATTGATTTAGAAATTTCGTGCGTGCGTGTGCCATTTTGGGCTTTTTATACTTATCCTATAATTTATGAAATTTTAGTTATTGTTTGTTATTTATATTTTTGTTATTTTTTTATTCTCTTTTGATTATGCATTATTATTTTTAATTCTATTTGATTTTATTTTTATTTTATTTTATCTTTTTAAGATTGGAGAACTAAATTGTTATTTGATTATTTTTTGTTTAATAAAATTTAAAAAAGAAAAATATTTTTTTCTAGTAATCATTACTTTAGTCTTCTGTTTAGGCAATGGGTTATTACTTCGATATTATTATTATTTTCACAATGGTAATTTCAATATTGCAAGAAATCATTAAAACAATATTGTTTTGCTTATTATATATAAAATCATTAAATTTTCATAGTAAAGGTAAAAATATATATATATATTAATGCGAGTTGTCGATTAAGTAACAAAAAGTATTTAAAAAGTTATAAAAAATGATTTTTTTATGTTTAATAAATAAATCAATGATAAATTTTTCCTGCATTATATTTTGTATTTTTCTCTTTCATTCCACGTCCTAAAATATATAATATGTAATAATATGTTTATCTTTTTCCTATTTATTTATTTTCAACATTATTAGATCAAAATACATTTTTTTTCTCTTTCCTTGAAATTTTAATTTAATAATATTAGAAAAAAAAAATATATATATATATATAGAGAGAATCAACTTACACTAAAAATAAAAACTCTTACATGAAATTTTAATCATTAATTTACGTGCCTTTATTGATTATGATTTATTGGATCATATTAATTAATTAAATAATATGACCTAATAAATCTTTATTTTTGATTTTTGAAATAATGGTTAAAATTTACTATAAAACTTATTATTCTTATACCGATGTAGGAATATATATATATATATATATATATATATATATATATATATATATATATATAAAAGAGGTTTGTTATGGAATATTTCCATATCCTAACCACCTACCCAAGGATCCTTAAAAGATATTATCCAATTATCCTAACAATATAAAACAGTAAGGCTACTAATGAAAAAGTCCATATCCCAACAGAAAGGAAGTTGAATCCTACTACAACTGGGAGATCTACACAAGTCCAAGAGGTAACCCTTATAAATAAGAGGTTAAAGACCCCAGGTACACACTTTTGAACTCATTTACTACTTCTGTCCACACTGTGCACACACCCACGTCTCGACTATAAGCCTATTGCTTGTGCGCAATGATGGAAATATTGGCTATAAGTCAACCAAGATACCTATCCATATGATATATCTGAGCGCATATCATACAGTATAGCAACACGGTTCTCTAAGACCGAACATTGGCGCCGTCTGTGGGAATCGACAAATTTTGACTCTCATCCATGGTGAACACGCGCGGCATAGCACAAAGCTACAGATTGCAGGCTACCTCGCGGGCCCTGAAATTGCTGAAACCATATATATATGAGGATACAAACCCTACCGCAAAAAAGGCATTTCATCCTCCGAGAGACTCTAAAATAGAGCTCTAGATCCATGCAGATGACGATTTGACAAAGATTCTTGTCGTCGCAATTCTTGATGGAGCAAGTGAAGACCCGGAAGTCATTAAATCATAAGGAAAAAGCTTCAATCCAAAAGAGGGCTTAAAATTTAAAAGCTCGGCCTTGAGCTCCAACTCAGCCCAACCAAGGGCTTCGAGTTTAATAGCTCGGCATCAGCCATGAGCTCCAGTTAAGCCCAACCAAGGGCTTTAAGATTAAAGATCGGCATTAGCCTTGAGCTTAGCCCATCAAAGAGCTTGAAGTTTAATAGCTCAGCCTCAGCCTTAAGCTCATCCCAACAAAGGGATTCAAGATTAAAGCTCGGCTTCGGCCTTGAGCTCCAACTCAGCCCAACCAAGGGCTTCAAAGATTAAAGCTTGACCACGACCTTGAGCTTCAACTCAGCCTTAGTCATAGCTTCAGGCTCCGAGATCAAAATGAAGATGGAATTGGAGAGATGTGATCATAGCAAAAGGATCACACCCCAATCCACCATAAAAATGGAGACGGAATTGGAGAGATGTGATCCTAACTAAAGGATCACACCCCCGATCCGAAAAAAGAAGAAGATGGAATTGTAGAGATGTGATTCTAGCAAAAAAGATCACACCCCAATCCGAGAAGATGAATTTGGAGAGAACGTGATCTTAGAAAAGGATCACACCCCAATTTGAGATAAAAGAAAAATCGAGGCGGCATATGATGTCGGGCTGCTATTCAAGATTTTGGCAACAAAGCCAAATGACAAAGTTTGCGGCCCAACAGGCCAGCTTCAAATTAATAATCCATTGCTGATGAAGCGTTGCTCAAAGTAGAAAGCCACGGTATGCGAAGCCGAGCTCAAACAAAATATGACAAAAAGTCTAGTCCAATAGTAAAGCCACGACACATTAAGCCGGGCTAAAATCAGAAAGGCAAAGATACTACCTTCAAAAGTGTAGACAAGGCAAAAGCCAAGTCAATTTAAAGAAAGCCACGGTATATGAAGCTTGGCTCAAAATGAAGAAGGCAAAAAACTGCCTTAGTAACTTAAGACTACAACAGCAAAGCCAAGTCGTTAAGGGTTTGGCCACAAAGGCCTAACAGGATGGCCTCAAATTAAAAATCCATCGCGAATGAAGCGGGGCTCAAAATAAAAGTCACGATATACGTATTCGGGCTTAAAATCGAGGAGGCGAACTCGTCCTTCAAGAATCCAAGATTATGGCAAAAGAAGCCAAGTTTGTCAAAAACAAGAGAAGTCATGGTATTCGAAGCCGGACTAATCGTTCAAGAAGGAACGAAAGACCTTCCCAAAATTAAGATATAGGCAGCAAGTCAAATCCAAAAGGGGAAGTCGTAGTACAAAAATGCGTGCTCCCTAAAGTACAATACACCTTTGCAAAATGTCAAATCCATGCTAATAGAGATTTCGGTATGCGAAACCGAGCCAAATCCAGAACCAGGACACTTAAAGCCAGGAAGTGCAAAGTCGGATTAATTATTAAGGAGGCACGAAACCTAGTCAAAATTAAAGAGCCTCGATAAGATAAGCCGAGCTCAAAGTAAAAAAAAAGGCAAACATCGCCTCACCACTTAGAAGAGGTAACCCTTATAAATAAGAGATAAAAGACTCCATGTACAAACTTTTGAACTCATTTACTACTTCTACCCACACTGTGCACTCACTCACGTCTCGGCTAAAAGCTTAGCTTGTGCGCAATGATAGGTATATTGGCTATAAGCCAACCAAGATACCTAGTCATAGGATATCTTTGAGCGCATACCATACGATATAACAATACGGTTCTCTAGGATCGAATAGTGTCAAATTTAAAATTTGACACTGATGTCAACAGATCCTAGCTATATATATATATATATATATATATATTTGACTGAGAAGCTGAAAGGGGTTTAAAATCGGGTGGAGTGTCAATATTGGCTGCCAACCATTTTCTTCTTTTTTTTCTTCTTATTTTTTTGTTTTGTTATTACATTTTCTCGCGAAGTGAATAAGAAATGGAATTTAGAAGCGAAGGTGAAACAACAGCGTGTTGAACTTATTTGGACAATTTGCAATTTCAACCACTCGAATGTTTTATTTTACTGTTAATATAACTAGCAACAGTCACTCATTTTATTTGTTTGGACAATACATTTTATTTTTGCATTGCCACATTTTTTTCTTCAATTCTTTTTTCTCTTTCTCCCTCTGATTTTTCATTTTTAGTACTTGAGAGTTCCTTTTCTCTCTGTTTCTACATTTAAGATGTCGTTTTCTCGGGAAACAAACAAACAGATTCTTCCACAATAAGACCACCACCATAAATAATTATAAAAGAAAAATAAATTAAGCAACAAAAGATGCAAGTAAAAAACCAATCCCACCACTAAATTTTACCAAAATATCTTCCTTGTCCCTTTTCGCCCACTTTCTCTTTCCTCATTTCATTTTAAAAAAAAAAAAAGAATAAAAAAAGAAAAGAAAACCCTAGAACGGGAGAGATTTCATCCCCCACAAATCTCTTCCTTCTCTCTCCTCCATTTTCTTTGTTCCCTCTCAACAAGTTCCAAATTTTTCCATCGTTTCTGAATTCCAAGTTCCTTGTCTGTTCTTATTTTCCTACTCAAGGTTAGATTCCATCTCTTCACATTTTTTCCCCTAATTTATTTTTGGGATTTTTCTAAATTTCCATATTTTTTTTATTGTAAATTCGAGAGCTTTTGATATGCAATTGCATGATATTGATGCTAATTTTCGTGGGTATTTCACAGATCTGGTGGATTATATGGTTAATTCTGGTTCCAAGGAATGCCGCTTTTTTTGCCAAAAAGCGATACGATCCAAATTCGCGAGGTGTGGAACGATAACCTGGAAGAGGAGTTCGATCTGATTAGGGAAATCGTGGATGATTATCCCTACATCGCGATGGACACGGAATTTCCAGGAATCGTTCTTCGACCGGTGGGGAATTTCAAAAACAGCTACGATTACCATTACCAAACCCTAAAGGACAACGTGGACATGCTCAAGCTGATTCAATTGGGTCTAACCTTCTCCGACGAGCATGGGAACCTTCCCACGTGCGGCACCGAAAGGTGTTGCATATGGCAATTCAACTTCAGGGAATTCAAAGTGAATGAGGACGTTTTCGCCAATGATTCGATTGAGCTTTTGCGTCAGAGTGGTATTGATTTCAAGAAGAACAACGAGAAGGGTATTGATGCGAAGCGTTTTGGTGAGCTATTGATGTCATCTGGGATTGTATTGAATGATAATGTTCATTGGGTAACTTTCCACAGTGGTTATGATTTTGGTTACCTTTTAAAGCTCTTGTCTTGTCAGAATTTGCCTGATACCCAAGTTGGGTTCTTTAATTTGATCAACATGTACTTTCCAACTGTGTATGATATCAAACATCTCATGAAGTTTTGCAACAGTCTTCATGGAGGGTTGAACAAGCTTGCGGAGTTGTTGGAGGTTGAGAGGGTTGGGATTTGTCATCAGGCTGGTTCTGATAGTTTGCTCACATCTTGTACATTCAGGAAATTGAAAGAGAATTTCTTTAGTGGCTCTTTGGAGAAATATGCTGGTGTCTTGTACGGTTTAGGTGTTGAGAGTGGACAGAGTTTTCATTGAGGAAAAAAAAAAAATCTAAAAAAAAAAAAATTATGAGATTAGAAAGAAAGCAAATTCTTATAAAGTGGGTAGATCTCTATTTGTTTGAGCTGTTGTATATCTGGTGAATACCAACTTCTATGTAACCGTTTGGCATTAAGTGTCTTAAATTCAAAAACTCTTTTTTTACTACATGTCCTGAGCTTTTGTATTATCTTTACATCTTTTAGCCACTGAATTCAATTTCAATTTGGCATGACAGGACTACGTCTATCATTGATAGCTTAATTGCTTTTGAGCAATTTCTGGTCTCATCCATCAGACCATTTCTTCAGTTTTGTTGGTCATTCAGCTTGAATAAAACTTAAAAGGAACATGACTATTCCGTGTTTGTTTTTTTTTTTTAATTTAAAGAAATAAAAAACTATGCTGTTATACTTGTATATTTCCTAGTCTGCCATTGTTGTATATCAAAATTAGAATGACAACTGATAACCATTATGGAAGAAAATTTTGGATTGAATACAAGAGGAGGTAAAGCATTGGCTTGCATTATGTTTGCTGCTTGGAGTTTCCCCCTTGTTAAGCAACGGTTATACTTCTGCTGCTTTATTTATTGGTTTATCATTAGACATTAATGTTTATACATTTCCTAGAACCATAGGGAGAAAATCTTAGTAAGAAAAGAGGTGGATATATAGTTCTGCTGGTGTTTTAAGTGGAGAACATTACACATGTTTTCATAGAAAACATATGAGACTTTTTCAGCGGAGAAACAAGAACTGGATAGGAACGAAGTAGAAAGATTTGACATAATGGTCTTGTAGTTGTATTTTCTTTGTCAATTAGAGACAGCGTGTGTGTGTTTTATTGATTTTAATTAGGTACTCTCGAGAAGGTCATAGACTCATTCATGTTTTCTTCTTTCTTGTGTGCTAATTTGCTTTTTTGCAGGATGTTGGCATCAACATAACAACAACAGTTTCGTGGTATGAACTGTGAAGGAATTGAACGCACTGTACTTTCTGTTGCTTTTGTGATTCTTGCAAAAATTGTCATAAGGAAGGTGATGGAATTTCGATTTTATTTTAGCATACTTTACATTTTGAAATTGAGTTTACTAATAATCTGATCTTAGTTTCTCACTAACCAATATATACAGGGTGTGCATGACAACCATTCCATTCCCTAGCACTGTTTATGAAAAGAAACAATTTTTTTCTATTTCTGTTCCTTGGAACAATTTCTGAGAAAAAAAATGTGTTTGATAACATGTTCTATTTTTATTCCGAGAATGAGAATTACGTTTGATAACATAACAAATAATATAATAAAAAATAATTCCTATTAAATGTAAAAAAAAATTGGATCATCCCTTTTCTTTCCATATGATGTGGTTGTGGTGGTGGCGACGGCGGGGGTGGCATGGTGGTGGTGGCGGCGGCGGCGGCGGTATGGCGGTGGTGGCGTGGTGATGATAGTGGTGGTGGTTGTTGTGATGGCAGTGGCTGTTGTGATGGCAGTGGCTGTGGCGATGACGGTGGTAATGGTGGCGACGACGGTGGTAGTAGTGGGGATGGTGGTGGTGACGACCGTGGCTGCGACAATGGTGGTGGGGATTGTGGTTGGTGGCATAGGTGGCGGTGACAATGGTAGCAGTGGCATGGTAGTGGTGGTTGTGATGACATCATGGAGGTGGTGGTGGTGGCAGTGGCTGCGGCGGTGGTAAGTTATAATAGTGGTGGTGGTGGTGACGGTAGTGACTGTGACGATAGTGGTGGTGGTTGGTGGCGGTGGCGGTGTCGGTGGTGGCTGCAGCAATGATAGTGGTGGTGATGGTAGCGGCGGCGTTGTGGTGGTGGTAGTGGTGGCGATGGTGGTGGTGGTAGTCGTGTGGTGATGACGATGATGGCGGTGGCGGCAATGATTGCGATGATGGTGGTGGTGGTTGATGGCGGTAGTGGTGGTGGTGGTGGTGACGATGATGATGATAGTGGTGGTGGTGGTGGTGGTGGTGGTTGCAGCGGTGGTGGTGGTGATGGTGGCATGGTGGTAGTGATGGGTGAAGGTGGTGGTGATGGTGGCGGTGGCATCGTAGTGGTGGGGGGTGGTCATGACAACACTAATGGTACGACGGCGGCAGCGACGATAATGGCAGTGGTCGTGTTGGGAAGATGGTGGTGGTGGTGGAATAGATGGAGAGTAATTAAGAGAGATAAGTGTTTCTCATTTTGAGTCCGAGAACAAAAAAGCAGAAATTTTTTGATTCTTTTTTCTGTTTCCCAGCACAAAAATTAATCCGGTTCATCCCGGGAACAAAAAAATGAACCGGTTTTACCAAACGAGTTTTCTATCCATTTCTGTTCCTGGGAACAGAAATTAAAAAAAAAATTGATTCCGGGAAGGTTGTCATGCGCACCCATAGCCTTAGAATTTAAAGGCCTAATTAAATTATAAAAGTTAAAAAACATTATGTTAATTTTAATAGCTTTATTAATTATAATTTTTTTTGAAACCGATCCTAATTACCTCTCTGAGTTGAATCGGCTCTTTGAGCCCTCTATAAAACTAATCAAGAGTTCGGAACTTGTGAAAGATTAAATTTTAAACCCCTCCTTAAATCCTTTCACTACCTACTCAGCTCTAATGCACTAACTGAGCTATCCACTTTGGGTAGCTTTATTAAATTTTTAATCGGAAATGTTATACTTACAACCACTTCTATATTTATTGGATCAAAATCAAATCAATGATTAACAACCCTAAAAATGGTTATAAGAGACTGTAAGGAAAAAAAAATATTATAAGTATAACCTCCCTCATTTTTAATTAGGTTTCTATAGTTTGTTTTTAACTAGAGCTTTATAGATTTAAAAACTTTTAAATAGGTCCTTATAATTTAACAAAAAATTCTATTAAATCCCTACTAATTATAAAATTTATAATCAAAGTCTGTAAAACCTGTAACAGCAACACATAATAACTTGGAAATGATTGTAAATATTTATTAACGGAATCTAACGGTCATAAGATAGTAAGGACTTAATATAACATTTTCAAAAATATAAACACTTTATTAAAAATTTATAAATTATGAGATTTATTTAAAAAAAAAAATCCATGAAAGTTTACATCGTAAATTAGACATCATAAGAACTCACAGACAGGTTTATTATACTATCTAAAGTAAAAGGTGAAGAAACGACATGTCTATTTGCCCTTTTTCTTGTCCTAATGTTGTTTTTAACTTAACAATGTTAATGAAGAAGAGCACATTCCCTGCATGAAGCATGTAACATGATCATAACACTTAATTCTGTCTCTAGGTTTGTCACCTGTATCTTACAACGGAAAAGAAAGCTGACCCATTCATGTTTCTATCACATAACAGGAGAGCATGATATACAATACCTCGATTTGGATGACGGGGATGATCCTAGATGTTCATTGTTTAACCTTCATACAAAAATATGAGGGACTTGTTCCCATTTCATACTAAATATGATCGATTATGTTTCCATTCAGCACAATGACCAGATTCTCAACGAGATGTCTTCCATTTTCCATTACGTAAGAAATTTTAAAACAAATTCTAGTTTTATAGCTTTATCTTATAATACCCTCCCAAGTTATATGACCCAAATTGTCTATTTCAAAACCACAACAACAAAAAAATGAAACTTTTTTTACAAAGACGAATACTCTAATGCTTATCCTCTTTACTTTGCCTTTTCAAACTTAGTTTGTTAAAAATATATTGATCTGCATCCATTGATATAAAATAAGCGTAGACAACCTCCTACAGTATTGAGTGAATTTTTCGAAATAAATAATCAGATTACAGATGTTCAAATCCATCAATGATGAAAATTGCAGAAATGTTTCATATTCAACTCTTATCTCCAGCAGAATGTTTCTTATGGCTCATACAAGCCGATGAAAAAGGTCATACTTTCCGTCTTCCCATTGGGAAGATAGAACATTCATACAAACCATGAAAAAGGTTCTACTTTCCATCTCCTCTTTGATATATCATATCTTTCTCCCCTGCAAAGCCTCAAGTTAGAACATTGGTTTCAATTTTAACAGATATATAACTTAAATATGTATCTCTGACAGTTATAAGCGTGGGGGTCAATATATCAGAATTTCTTTTCTTTCTGAGAATAAAAATTTCCATCAAAGCACCGCTCAACACGAACTCAACTGAAAGTCTGAAACACTAACCTTTTGCCTTATGCTGCTCTCTTGCGCTTAAGCGGCTTGATATGCTCCACAATATAACTGATAACTTCTTTCAAGGTAGCCTTCCTTTTCTCCTTGAAGTTCCAAAGCTCCAAAACAGTATACCCACCGCTTGGATTGTATTCATTTAATTCTTTCAAGGCTTTAACAACCGCTGAATGTATGTCATCTCCCCATTCCTGCTTGAGACTTTGTAACTTCTCATCTTCCACATCTATAATTGCCTGTATCAATTCAACATCATTATGTGTGATCAGTATCATACTATTTCTCTGCTCTGAAAGGAATAATGAAACCTGGATCAGGAGCTAAAAAGAGTCCAATGGTATAATGCAGGTCGTGTCAGTAACCTAACATATTATATAATTACAGACAACAAAAACCTTTTTTTGGGGGGGACAAGGAAAGCATATGAAGCAAATTTCTGGCTTGCATGAACAGAACATATACAAGTGAAACAAACAAATCGAAAGGCATAACTATGTTTTGAACACACGAAGCCAGTCTTGAAGATACATGCCTCTGGTTTATCATCAACGATGATCACTTTAAATGGATGCCAGGCAGAATTCTTCACGTTCTCCTGCCATAAAGAGCAAAGCTCAACTCCCTTTGTCCCAGCATCTTCAAGAGGAAATCTTTTCTTGCAGATATCCACAAAAACCTTTTGATCAAGCTCTCCCATTCTCTTGAGCCCAATATTAGTTTTAGTTGAATTCAGCATATCATTTAACCCCTAAAACATTGGAAATGAAAAAGGGATAAACTTTAGTCTCCCACAATCTACTCATCACACAATAACAGAATTTCAAAATTCTTATTTCCTACAGAAAGGGGAAGAGAATCTTCTTGCAAATTTGTTTACAGCTCAGCATGACTAGATACATGCACGAAAGCAATCACTTGTTAGTTGATTATCTTCAAGAAATCATGAAGTGTATGGTTAAAGGAAAGCAAATAAGTATGAGTAACATTTTTTTAAATATGAAAAAATTGTATTAGATAGTAAGTAAATAAGATCATACATCATTTACTAAAACAAATAAAATCATACTTCTATTAATTCTTTGCGAGCTTCCTGTAGTTCATCATTGCTAAGGCGCTCCTTGAAAATGAGGGTTTTATTCATTTCCTCCATACCTTCCAAATTTTCTATTTTTTCCAGCAAATCATCATTCATTTCTTTCATCTTACTCTGGACACCTGTATCATCTTCATCTCCAAGATGCTTCATAACTTGCAATTTCCCTTTTAACTCCTCAATTTCCATTTCCAACTTCTGTTTGGCATCCAGCTTTTTTTCCAACTCAAGTATCTTGTTCAAGGCCTCCTCTTTCTCTCTCTACAAAGTTGAGATCCACATAATCAAAAAACATTCAAAATATGTAAAAATTAAGTGAAACACAACATATGCTAAAACATCTTCTCGTGACCAAGACACTAAGTAGGAGCCAAACCTTTTGCTCCTCAACAAGCCTTAAGACATTCTCATCAGCAATCTTCTGCTCCTTTGAAGCCAAAAGGAGTGATTCATTCCTCAAATCTTTCTGGAAGGACAAAGAGATTATATTAGGATCTTGTAAAAGCACATCATAAATGCTAATAATTTCAGAGTCTAAAGGCACCTCAAGCATGACAAGGATAGAAAGTGCAATATCAAGTATTGCATCCTTTGAGGGCTGTGTATGGAATGAAAAAACGCTTCCTTTTTTTCAAAAATAAATAACATTGGGTCGTTGAGTTTAATGTTCTATATGACATATGACTATACCAAAGCTTTTTACTAATTTTCAACATCAATGACGCAGTGAAAACTGAAATTATTTTTATGCATTGATATTTCCTGAAATGAATGGAAGCCGCACATTTGGCAATATTGACTTTAGGTCCAATTTGACAAACGGTGAAAGGCCAATGAAAGGGGGCGTTGTTTAAAGGAGAAGATAGGATCAAAACAAAAAACTTAGCTCAAATCTGTAGCAACCAAAGGCAAAAACAGGCCAAAAGGTTTGCAAGGACAATTATGATAACCAAGTAAGATCAAGGGTAAAAAAAATCATTAAAATGAGGAAATATTAAAAGCCAAAAAAATTGTAATATACATTACCTTCTTCTTGTCCTCTTCAAGTTTTTGTCTTTCTTGATCCGTTAGTACCTCACGTTTGTTTAGATCTCTGCTCCAGGAATCAAGCTTCCGTCTTTTTTCCTCCAATTCACTACTCAACTTTTCTTGTTCATCCAAGATCCTTCGTACCTCATCACGTGCTCTACGCTGCATCTTCCTTGATTCTGACAAAGAAATGAAACAATTTTGTAGTATTACCAAATTTTTGATATTCTTTGTGCTCATAAACGTAAAAGAATGTATTTCAGAATAGTGAAACATACATAGCCACATTTGAAACATACGGATTATATATGCAAGCAGGCAAAATTAGAAGCCGCAAACACAAAGTATACAAACCTTCAACAAAAGCACTGTGTAGCTTGTCTTTATCCTCAAGCATCCTACTCAACGACATGTTCTTCTCATTATACTTGTACTGCATTTCGTTCAAGGTTTCATTTGTAATATCAATTTTATTAGCTAGGTTTGCCACAATACTATTTCTGCATTCAGATGCTTCTTGAACAATATCTGCAACCGTCCTCAACCTTCCTTTGCTGCGGAGGTATTCCCCGATTGCTCCTTCACAATTATAATCATCTTCCCGTGCAACCCATCCATAAATGTCTGAGCCAGCCTGCAACTTCCTTGAATTCCAATCCTTTTTACCATGACGCGCAGTTTCAAATGATTTCTCAAATTCACTTGCATTCATGAAACCATTCCAATCATTATTAAAGTCTATTACAGCTTGAGCAACCAGGTCACCATCTTTGAAGAATATATGAACATCTACCGGTCTATATTTAACAAAATTTTTCAACCAGTATCCAGAATCCTGCAATTTACTCTGTATGTTAATAATTATGCCCATCCAAGGCCAAACATAAAGATCATCTTGCTGAATAGGTTGATTGACAGCTTGGGGTACAGCTGGCCGCTGCATTTGCTCTGCTTCATTGGCTAGCTCAGTCTCCAAATACTTTGCCAGAGCAAGATGGTTTGCCTTTTGTATTCCACTTCTGTTAGCAGAACCCTTACCCACTCCTGATGCATGTTGCAATAAGTCCTTATATTTGTAATCTTGTTTCTTTTTACCAGCACAGAAAGGACATCTAAGAGTGCCATTCAAACTTTTAACCTTGTATTTCCCAGACCTTAAATGTTCATATGGTTTCTCTGAATAGTCATTAATCTCAGATTCGCTAATATCTGACTCTTCTTCAGAGCTGTAGTCCATTGAAACTCTGCATACAAACACAAAGACAGTTAGTTTAGGAGGAAAGGTTGCACATAATTTGATGGGGAAGAAATTTCAAAAAGCATCAAAGCAAAAAACTTGCATAAAATAACTTGCGAAATGCTCAATATTGCACCCAAAAACCAAGAAAACAATGAAAAAAATAATATACTACAGAGTGCCAAGCAAACAACAGTCTGACTTGGAACATGATGTTCTCACCATTTGACATACCCACAGGTTCATGAAATGAGTATAGAGCCAGAAAGAAAAAGCAACAGTAGCAAACAGTCTATGACTCCCTATTCCCTAAGTATAAGCATAGTATTTGGAATAAATGGCATTGGTTACTTTTTCCTTTGGAAAAAAAGTATTGATTTTACAAAACCCAATTCTTGAAGTAGAGAAAAGATCAGAACCAAAAAGATAAGCTAATCCAACATGATACTAGGGCTTTATATTTTTGAACGAGAGAATGATATCTCCACCATAGACCATTCTTTAAGCATCAGTGCACAACATGGACAGTGAATGAATGCATGTTCCATGGATAATGGATGACATTTAACTCAAGTATTGTTATATCCATATATCAGTAAAACTCACAGTCTACTGAATTTAGCATCTGTATAAAACACACATTAATCAATGATAAATAGTAACATATAGGGCAACCTAGTGCTATAAAGCTCCCACTATGTACAGGGTCCAAGAAAAGGTCAGACTCACACACATTGTGTGAGTGCGTCTATAGTAGGTAGCCTCATCTTGTATTTGCAAGAGGCTGATTGCATGATTCGAACCTATGACCTTCAGGTCACATGGCAACAACACCAACTGTTATGCCGAAGTTCCCCTTCATAAATACACCACTCTCGATTAAACCCCGACTACAAGGGTGGGGTGAGGGCAATTCTTGAACACAACCTTACCCTTGCATAACTACAAAGAGACTATTTCCCGAATTCCAACCTATGACCTTTTGTCATAAAACAGCAGTTGCCCTTCATAAATAATCACATGTAATTCAGGAAGGAAAAAAAAACAGAACAAAGGTTGAATATAATAATAATAATAAAAAAACTTAGAAAACTGTTGAAACAAGCATGAAAATAGAAGACACTTTTCCAGAGTACAGGTTAAAAAACTGGTTGTTTAGAAAAAGTAAACAGAACTTGTCATTGACAATTTAATATTAAGAACGGTGGCTCTGAATAGCATATTTTACATTGCAGAGGAATTTGTCTCAGCAGTGGCAGATAGAGAACAAATTCCAGGAAGATGCATAGTATAATTTTGCTTTCATAAGAGAAAAAAAGCATTAGAGAGAGAGAGACTGATGGGGGGGGGGGGGGGGGGAAGAAAAAAGTGGTGCAGCTTGGAGGGAGGATAAGATGACATCCAAAGCAAAACAAACTGTTGAGGGCGCAAACTAAGTGTGCAGTATATAAATTTAGAACTACCATCACTCTCCCATTAAACCCTGACTAGGGAGGGTTGTACGCAGCCTTACCCTTACATATTTGCAAAGAGGCTGTTTTCCGAGTTCAAACCTGTGACCTTTCACTCACAAAGAAGCAGTTTTACCACTACTTCAGGCTCCCCCTCTTAAGCAAAATGACTGCCATACATGATGCAGGGATACAATCAAACAAGGACTCCTTTCAAAAGATATAGAATCAATTACATGTTCATAGACACTTTCACACAAGAAAAACTACATGTGAATAAATAACTAGTAAATGTAAAAATGCAGTCTGCTACCGGTTGGAAGAATGACTAGTTAAATCTAGGGAGCATAATAAATTGTACATAGAGGACATACAAGAATGCAGAATTAAAAAACTGATAAAACAGATAAAAGATAACATGGGAGATAAAGTTTCCAACATAGGCAACCATCTTAAAATTACATATCCCAAATTAAGAGAACCCATGACATAAAATGGAAGTGAACATCACAGGGGGAATAAAAAATTGCCATCATTCCTGCTTTTAACTATGCTGGCTTACACAAGTCAACATTTTTTTAGGGTAATTTTCAATTCCGTACTCTTATCCCTACATTTTTAACTTGATTAAAATTGACATAACCTCATCGCAAAAACGAGAAAATTACATTTTCAAAAAGTGAAACAGCCACGTACAGCAAACAGATTTGTGATTAAATTGAGAGAAACTCAACAACACAAAATTCTGCTTTAATTTTGTTATTATTTTTTAAATCATTTTCAGCAAGTGTCCATTCGACAAATCATACATGGAATTTCAACATTTACAACGCAGAAAAATCTCAGTAACATTGTCAGCTAAGAGAAGAACACTTTCAAGAACAAAATGGGAAGAGAGAGAAACAACTTGACTTACGCTGACAAGAGTACCTCAGAGAGAGAGAGCGAGAAGGTCACCGCTTTCAGCTCGGTGAAATGTGAAAAAATGAGTAGGTGAATCAAAATCAAAATCCCTATGAGAGAGTGAGTGTGTGTTAACGTGTCACCGTTGATTTATATGGACGGCTAAGATGTTATTTAACGTTTCAGTAGTGTGAGAAATTATTCCCTGTGCTGGCGCAACGTGAACTTCCACGAGAACCTGTCTAATGTTATTGGTTGAAGGCTTGAAGCTATTCGTATGCCCCTGATCTCTCTTGATCATGATTTAGAAAGGAGTGAAATCATTTTCGCGGCTGTGTGCGATTGCTATTATCATCGTTGAAGAATGGGTACTTCTGAAAATGTCAGAAATTCAAATAAATGGAAAACCTGTTAATTTGACTCTATGCAGCACGATACTAACGTGGGATACGAGACACGATACAACATGATACTTCGATAGGTTAATTTTAAAAAATGTTAGATTTCGACACGTTAGGACACGTTTTGATATTAAATAATATTTTTAATTTATGTTGTGTATATTATATTTAATATTCAATAATTTAACAAAACAATAAAGCTAAACTTATAAGACCCATTAATTTTACAAAGAAACATAAGATATTATAAATATTTATATTAAATTCAATAAAATGGTGATAGTAATCCAACGAATCTAATAGATAGACTAAAAACGCAATGCAATCTTTGAACTTTTTTTTGAGTTTTTACAACGCGCGTTGGAGTGTCGGGGAGTGTCGGAATGTTAGAGAGTGTTAGGAAGTGTCGGACACGACACGTCGGGGTTTTTGAAATGTCGGTGCTTTATAGATTTGACTCGCATTTACCTTGCATTTCTTTTTTTTCTTTTGCAAAAGTTACCTTTCATTTCTTAACCTTAAACTCATATTTTTGATGTCATTTGACGTGCAATAATTTTGATATATTTATTATGAATGTGCACTTCCTAGATTGATAAACCTCCTAAATTTTATTAACCAAAAAAATATGACTTGGTTGTAATAGCTATAACAAAAATTGAAAAAATATTTTTTTTTTAATTGGAGACTATCAAAAAAGGGCTATTCTAAATGTACAATGCAATTTCGGTAGTAATATTCTATTTCAATTGAAAAATGTAGAAGATGTTTGAGATAGTATACCTCATATTACAAGAATGGATGGACCAGGGAATTTGTACAAAATTCAAATGATACCCATAAACAAATAAGCCCAAAACTAAATTTATCATTTAGAGCCATTCATTTATTTGTTTATATCTACTAGTGTGTTTTAGTAAATATATGATGATTTTTTATTTTTTTTGGGTGTGGTGTATGATGATTATTTACTTTCTCTATAATAAGATCATAAATAAATAAGCCCAAAACTAAAGTTACTATGTAGAACCACTTTACGATCGGTTTCGATTATACGATTTATAATCTTGCCATGCCTTTTTGACTTTAAGTAAGATTTTGATTTTGACTATCTTGTTCTTTGTTTTGTGTTATCAGCATAGAATATCTCAGCTCCACATTGTGTAAGAGCCCGTAACGTAACTCCCAAATTTGATGTTGAACATTCCTCCGATGGTGTCCTAATCCTTCTCGTTCAAACCATGTGTAAGGTATACAATCTCCAACATCAATGGGCTGCGAAGGCTATGTAGGCTTTGCAGCTCTATAACCAAGAAGTGATTCTTGCATGTCGAGAACATGCTCAAAGCTTTAAAGCAATATAATGAACAAATTGCCTTGTAAGTAGTATGTGATGAGCTCGCTCAATTCAGTCAGTCGGCGAATACAAAAAAGTAATATGCATTGTCTTATTGATTTTAAATAATGATAAGGTCAAATCATGTAACTAACAAAATTTCACTTATCAAAATGTCCCAATGGTAAGGGTGTAATGGGTTATGCCGGGTTAAGTTTTGAATTGAATAGGTCAAGTTCATGTAAAGTATTTTAAATTTCACCTAATTTGTTAGCCTGAAATAGGTTAAATTATAGATATGACATAGCCTATATTTAAAAAATACAAGGTATGGCTTAGGCCTATTAGTCTTTCGAGAATCATAAGAAATAACAAAAATAATATTATTCTATTATTTAAAATTATTTAAATAATAATTTTATTTTAAATAAATAATATAATATAGATCGGTCTGTAAGTTTATAGGTTAGACCTTATAAAATAAAGCTCACGACCTGCTTTTTAAATAGATTTTTTTTAAGACATAAGATTGTATTGTTTTCCTATATATAATAAGCTAAGTTTGGCCTAATATGGGCCGAGTCATAAGCCGCCTCATCATCTCTTTGACCACACTAGGATTTTTCGACATTCGCTATACAAGTTTTGTATCAGGTGGCCAGATTTTATTGCGGGGGCATTTTGTTCCGCATAGGGTCCTAGAGGGTTTGAGTCCCACCCCCAAACCCTAGCGAAACAAATGTTTTTTTTTTTTTATAAAAAAAAAAAACAAACAAAGAGTTTTGCCCCCATCCGTTTGCATAACTCTTTATTTAATTTTTTTTTTTTGAATTTTGCCCCTTTCCCCTTACGAACTTGGACGGCGTGCCATGTGGCTCAATCTCAATCGTCCAAATCCCTTTCTCTACCTTATAAATAACACCCTATTCATAATTAGTTCTCTCATTTTTCATTAATCACTATTCATTAATCCCTAAGCATTATGTAAACAATGAGTAATGTTAGGGTAACACAAAAAGAGGTAGAGTAAACTGAAACTTACATAGGAAAATGTAGTTAAACAATTAATTGAGTGAGATATAGATTGGTCGGCGGTGTGTCTTAGTACGGAATGGAGAAAAACAATGAGTAGGGTGGAAGGTTAAACCCGTTATTATTTCTATGTTCCAGATTGTCCTTTTTTAGTCATTTTCCTCTTCAATCCCCTCTCTCTTTCTTTTCTCCTTCTTGTCTTTTATCTTATTTTCCCTTTCCCCAAATATTTTATTTATTATTTATTTATTTATTCCTTTTAATCTCCTCCTATTTATCATTGGATTCATCTACCACCGATCTCAATTAGCTTGGGTTAAAGATATTGTTGATGTTGTTGTTGATGGTAGGGTAACACAAAAGTATTAAATAAAAAAATTATAACAACTCGGACGACTGAAATTGTGCCACACGACATGCCGTCCAAGTTCATAAAGGAAAAGGGGAAAAACTCTCTGTTTTAAAAAATAATAAATAAATAAAACAAAAATGTGTTCTGCTAGGGCGAGAGGGCAGGACTCGAACCTGCTGAGACTCTTAGGGTGTGTTTGGTACAAGAGAAATTTTTTGGTGACCGGGAATCATGATTAATGAGAATTCAGTAGAAATTGAGTTTACTTGGAATCTTACGAAAGATGTGTTTGGTTCGCCAAAATATTACCGGGAATATTGGGTAAAAATTACTGATTCCATATTTGGTATAGAACGAAATATGACTTGGAATATGAGGTTATTTTACAAAAATAACCCCAAACTATTTTTACTTTTGTAATTGATAGATTGAGTCTAGATTTTTATGTGTATTGGGGTATTTTTGTCTCAAAATTTATTGTTGTGCTTTTCCTTTACTTGGTATTTTGATTGGTATTCCGAATTACCATATTATTTTTGGTAATCTGAATAGTGACTTTTCTTTATAAATCAAATTACCGGTAATCCTTGGATATCCGGGAATCGTAATTTATTCCTTCTACCAAACGTGGTAATTACATTTACCAAAGAAGGATTACCGGTAATCCTCTCCAAAAACTTGAACCAAACACCCCCTTATGGGTAAAATTTTGTCACTCAATACCAAACTAGTCGAGTGTGGAAAACCCCCAATATGATCAAAGAGCCTCTGGCTAACCTATTTACATATTTATTGAGTGTCTTGTTTTATGCAGGATCACCCTTGTGGTTATACCCATGCCATACCACGTATAAGGAGTTCATACTCAAAATGCCACTAAATGACTCACTTCACTAAACCCAATTATCTCTATTGTGCTAGCGAGCTATAAATTTGTATTTATATTTATCTTTACCTTAATAATTCATGTTAATAACAAATTATTTCAACCTTAAAATAGTTTTATAAAATCAGCAAATAATTTTTTAAACTTTTTTTTTGGTAAGAAAGTTATTTTTTTTAACTTTAATTTAAAAATAACTTTTACCTTAATAAATAACTCTAACTAATAAAAAGTACATTTGTAAATATCTCCAAACGAACATGATAGAGTCATAGAGATAAATTTTGAAATAAATGATTACGACTGTGTCATGACACAATTTGTCATTTGTGCAAGGGATTTCGCAATTTACATGGTTACACCATGTGATATTTATGCACAATCAGAAATGAATTTTGTTATATGTGATTTAAAATGACCTGATCACGTTAAATTATATATGAGAGCATTCATTCCAATGAGCAATCCCTCCTATGCAGAATTGATTATATTATTACAGGAAACAATTTCAAATCTATATTAATTAAATAATTTAATTTTAAATTTACATTAAGTCTTCTCTAAGAATGAAAAGCAGTTAATTGGATCTAAAGTTATCCATTACGCAAACTCTTTTATATTTTTTTGGTGCGATAGATTATTCTACTTTTTTTTTATTTTTACCTATCACTTTATTTTCAATTTTTTTTTTTAGATTCCGGTCTTACAATATTGAAAAATGATAGGCAAAAGTAGATAGAATAACCTATTCCTTAATTATTTTATTTTCCTGTTTGGTAAAATAAAAACAGAATTAAAAAGGGAAAAGAAGGTGGAAGCAAGCAATTGCCAAGTCGTCTGTCCCTTGGGTGCAGACGACCTGTCTTCATCGCCAAACAACCCTCAAAAGTTGAAGAAGAAGAAGACGAAGTTCAACATCATTCACACGAATTCGTAATAAAAATTTCGATTTTTGATCTTTGTTTTGTTTCTCATCCATGGAGGTGCCGAGTTCCTGGGATGCACTTCGCAAACAGGTTCCAATTATTCTCCATCTTATGTTTTCTTTTGCTATATTATGCTTTTGGTTCTGTTGTTAAATGATACAATTGATGTGGGTATGTACAATTTGACTGCCCCTCATGCCAAAGTCTCGATTTTTCTTTCTGGGGTTTCTTCATTTTGTCGGTGATGGGGAATTCATGGGATCAGCTTCTACCCTTTTGGTATCTGTGCTTTGAACATGGTTTGATTTATAAAGATACAGGTTTTTTCAGTTCTAGTTTTTTTTATTTTATTTTTTTCTAAAGAAGATTTTTAATCTTAGCTTTTGAATTGCGATGGGATTGAATTATGAAGATTTTAAACCTTTGGATGGGAATTTTGTAACTAGATTCAGGTTCATTTGATATAGGATTGGCAAGTTAGAAGTGTACCTAATTTGTTTAGGAAATATGGTTCTTTGCATTGTGATCTGCAATCGCATAGAGTAAATCTGAGTCAGACGAATACATGTGATGTGTGTACTTGCTAGAGTGCTGGTGAAAAGCTTGCATAATATTATGGAATTTTAGTTGTGTTGACTAGGCTTTTACTATCTTCATGCATGCTATTCTTGGGACATTAATGTATTGAGCATAGAAGAGTGGGCAGTATAATGTATTGAGCATTTTAGATTGCCAATTAGGTGTCGTTTAGCCTGTTTATAACTTGGTTTCTCTTCCCTAATCATAATGACTTGATCATCATAGTAATATTGATAATAATGAGAAAAAAAAAAAAACTTGTGAAATTTGGTATTTTTGAGTATCACAAAGCTGCATTCATTCAAGATGTTTTTGTCTTCTTTTTGTGGTTAACTAGTTTACACATATTTTTGTTTTCTTAGGCAAATGATTGATTGGAGAACTTTTCCCCCTAATCTTTTGCAGGCTAGAAAACTTGAAGCTCAGTTGGATGAGCGGATGAATTCTTATCGTAAATTGGTTTCTGCTAATGTTTCTACAAAAGCTGATGCGGCAGAGAGTGATCTAGAGTCTTGGATTGAGCAATTACTAAAACAACTCCAGCAAGTAAACTCACAGATGCAAGCTTGGGTATCATCTGGTGGTTCGGAAATGGTTTCTCATACTTTAACTAGACACCAGGAAATTCTTCGAGATCTCACCCAGGTATTATAGTCTGAGCTTGAGATACCCTATGTCATCAGCATTATTTCTTGCTAGAACCTTAAACTTGTAATTGAATTATATATGTTTTTGAATCCTTACTTCATTGGCTGGTGTTCAATGCCATGACCCCCCTCCCCCTATTTTGAATCCCAATTTCTTTTTGAAGTTTTATTATATTATTAGCAATTTGTTACTTGATACGTATTTCTAATCCTTATTATTTATTATTTCTGTAATTTAATACTTTTGTCTTTGCTTTGTAATGTTTTATTTGATTTGATTCGACATTTACTCTTAGACTTTTTGTTTTTTTATTAACTACTTTATTTATTCAACATTTTAAACTTTTTGCACTAAGCTTTAGATGTAATTGGACTACAGGAGTTTTATCGTCTTCGCTCAAGTCTTAGAGCTAAGGAAGAACATGCTTCACTATTAGAGGATTTTAAAGAATTTGATCGGACACGGTTAGACTTGGAAGATGGTGCAGAATCTGAACAGCATGCGCTCCTAAAAGAGCGTGCATCTATCAGCCGAAGTACAGGACATGTCAGTCATATGAAACAATTTCTTGCTTTTCTGATATAAAATGCTGTTTTCTTTGTTTTTTTTATACTGATATTCTCAATGGAGTGCTTTAGTGATATTCTTATATTATATATGAACCTAATTCAAATTTTTCTTTTTTGGTAATAACACATCTGACTTTGATATTTTATATGTGTGCAACATTCATATTTGGTGAAGTATTTATATGTGTGCAACATCAACATTCATATTTTGTAAAACATTTATGGGATTAACATTTTTCTTGCAACATAAGATAAATTATCTCTTGCAACTGCAACGCGACGTTGTCTTGGGGTTTGGAAAAAAAATGCAGGGTATTTTAGTAAAATTATATAATACAAAAGGAAAATAGAATTACTAAAATACCCGGTATTTTTTCTCCAAACTCCTAAAACGACATCATTTTGGATTACTAGCGACAACTTTATTTTATGTTGAAGGAGAAACACTTTTCCCAACATTCATATGTGTGCGGCATTTATACAATGTTAATATGTATTCTGTGTGAAGCAAATTTGGAATGGAGAAGGAGAAGAAACTCCACAGGAGAATGTGGAATGCAAATTTGGGAAGGAGAATAAAATTAGGAATTTGGGGGGTTAATATCGTTAGTTAAATTTTTATCAGATATGTTAATTTGTTACCATCACAAAGTACAAGGGAATTGAAAGTATAAGGTGGTAATTTGAAACATGACTAAAGTTCAAGTGGATAAATTGTATTTTAGCCAAAAAATTTATAATGTTTCATGCTAAGTTGAAAGCAGTTGAGCCATGAGAATCGGATATATGTCCTGTAAAAACTTTCAAGATTGCAATTTAAATTATTTTTTAAATTAAACACCAGGGGTTAAGATTTCTATAGGGAGGAGAGTTGGGGCCTAAGGCAGAGAAACTAACACCTGGGATGCTATTCTTGGGATAGTGAAATGTACTCAATATTTTTTTATTTTTTATTTATATTTTATTGATGGATTGATCTAGTGAGTGTGAGTTCAAGTGTTAGATTGGAAGAAACTATTTTGAGCCCCCATTGAACAAAAATCTGGTTCTTTGGGTGGATCAATACTGAAATATTAGAATAAGAACCTTAATATGTTGGGGCCTTCTTGGAATCTCATATGCAAGAAATGCTAAAGAGCATGCCTTGCATGTGGGACACATGTCAACCATAAAGAACAGTTTTTTCAACAAGCCTTTATTTTCCTTTAAAATTCTATGTGATCTTCATTTGAGGTAGTCCTGTTTTGAACTGTTCTGCTTATTGCTGTGTGCTGCAGATAGACACTGTTATTTCACAAGCACAAGCAACACTCGGTGCACTTGGCCTCCAGCGTTCAACATTTGGTGGCATCAATTCAAAGCTCAGCAATGTGAGCAGTCGCCTCCCAACGGTATGCCTCTTATCATCATGGGTTTTGGTGTTTTAGTCATTTTCCTTTTGGCCATTTTACATTCTGCCTTGTCTCGTGAGATTGAATAAGAAGTACCAAAAAAAAAAAGAGGCATTGAATAAGGATGTTAAATTATTCGTGAGTTGTTACATGTGATGATAAAATTTCATATTTCACCAGAATGAATTGTCTGCTGAAAGATGTTGCCACCTTTTGTTTCTGAAGTTTATAGTCTGCATGGATGTTGCTTAAAATTCTTCTGTTTGATGTACCACTTTTAATCATGTTGCAGGTAAATAGCATACTTTCGGCAATAAAGCGAAAAAAGTCAATGGATACCCTTATACTTTCCCTTGTTGCATCCGTATGCACATTTCTCATTTTCATCTACTGGCTAACCAAATGAGGCTGTTTATTTTGGTGGGTACTCAACTATAAACTGTTGTATGTTCCTTGTCTATTGAGCTTGAATAGTTTGCGCCATGCTGAAACGACATTTTTTTGGGGTAGTGTATTGTTCATTTGATTGTTTATCCCTGTATCAGAAGCAATGCTGAGTACAGATTAGAAGTCACAGCAAAAAAAGAAGAAGGAGGAATTTCCTTCTCTTGATTCCGATATCACAGAACATAGCATGTAGAAAGTGGAAAAAAATATCAAATGGACTTCATTAAGTGGTATAGATTGGAAAGAAAAAGCCTTAACAATTTTGCTGTGTCGGAATTGGCTCTCTTTTTAACTTTATTATTATTGATCTAAATATCATATAATCTACTAATCGAAACACCTCTAAATGTAAGTTCACTTCTTAAAAAACGACTTTAGCAACTCAACTAGTTCATTTGCTCTTAACAATTGCTTATTCCAATCAAACACGTTATATTAACTTCTTTGTACTTTATGATCGTAATAAATTAACATATTTGCTAAAATTTTAACTAAAGGTGTAAATTTTTCAAATCTTTAATTTTATTCTCCTTTCCAAATTTACATTTCATATTCTTTTGCAGAGTTTTTTTTTTCTTTATCTTTTAAAATTTTATTTTATGTGAAGCATTTATATGTGTGCGACATTTATATGATCTTAATATGTATTCTGTAAAGAAAATTAGGGATGGAGAAAGAGAAGTGTGATGGAGAAGAAACTAAGCCCAATAGTGTGAAATACAAATTTGGAAAGGTTAATAAAATTAGAGATTGAGATTAATGATTTTTATGTTGTTGGAGATAAAAATTATTTCTTACACACATATAAAAGTACGTGGAGCTTATGTTTTGTTTTTTTTTCACTTTTTTCTTCACTTGATGTCACATGGAGTCCACACATTTTTATGTATGTGTATGAGATAATTTTATTTTCAATAATATAATTTTTTTTTTCCAAATTTGCATTTCACACTATTGTGCGAAGTTTCTTCTCCATCACACTTCTCTTTCTCCATCCCTAATTCTCTTCACACTGAATACATATTAAGATCATATAAATGTCTCACACGTATAAATGCTTCACATAAAATACAAATTTGGGGTATAGAAAAAACTCTGCAAAAGAATATGAAATGTAAATTTGGAAAGGAGAATAAAATTAAGGATTTGAAAAATTAACACTGTTAGTTAAAATTTTATAAAAAATATTAATTTGTTATTATCACAAAGTTAAATGTGATTAATTTAAGCAATTGAAAATATAAGGTTTTTCACAATTGAAAAATATATATCTTCTCCACTTGGCGTATAAAATAGTGAACAAATTTAAGGTTTAAGGTCGCACAATACACAACGCTAATGAGCCATGGACACGTGTGTACCTATCTCTCTTGTGTCATATTCATATAAAGACTTCCTCGGAGCACATGGAGATGTGATTTGCATGTGACTGTAGTTGTGGAGATATGAGTGGTCATGTTTGAGTTATCCTTAGACGATGTTCTCATGTCTCTAGGATGGGATGGTAATGGACAAATTATTGAATCTTTTAGAACACGAATTCTTCCAAAATATAGAAGCAAGGATATCTTATAAAGGGATTTTCTGTCAAATTTGGCTCAGCAAACGCAGTAGTTATTATACAAAAGAAGAAAATTTTAAAAGCAAGTTTAATATTATCCCATTACATCTTTTTCTCCCACCATATCAATACGTATATTTTTTATGTTTCCTTGACTTCTATCAACAACAGTGACTTTCGCCTAAAGCATCCATCATGCAAATATTCTTTCACACAAATCATAGACTTTTGGTAATTTTTTTCAAGGCAATTTTATATATATAAAAACTTCACACACAAAATTTTTAATTTTATGTTCTTTTACAAAAAATATTACGTAATTATATATTCAATCAAATAAATTTACACAATTACCATATATTTAAATATTCTACATAAAATTTAATTTGTATATTGTTTTAATATTAAAAAAAAAATTACGGTATCATTTAATAATATAATATCACCTTATTTGTTAAGTTTAATATAATCACAATTCACAGTATCCAAAGTAAACTCTTCAACATAACATTATCCTTATATTTTTAAGCACCGGAATTAAAATAGATTAACAGTGAGAATTTATTAGATCCCTCTCCTTAGACTGACTCAATTTTACAATATTCATTAATAGATGAATAGCTAACAATTAAAATGATTATTTTCTACTTTTCATTTTATCAATTTTGTCCTTAAAATTATGAGTCTTGACCTGTAAATGAATGACTGGATTCATTAAAATGTGAATAAAACATGATCACGTTAAAATAATATACGAGATGATAGATTCCCCAGAAAAAATGATTGCAACAATTTCATATTCAATTTGTCATTCAAAAGAACTGATTAAGGTCTCATACTATGACAATTAATGTCCATACAGAAGCATGCAAGCGCAATTAATTTAAGACTTGAAAAATATATGAGGAAAAGTGCATAAAAGAAAAATTGAAGTGGATCTTCCATTCTTTTCATGGTTCAGTATTTTTAACTGTGTGATACCCTCTATGCTATTCCTATCTGAGGCAGACACACAAGATATCCTTTTCTTGTCACTATCCTTTATTATAAAGGATTTGATTCCAAGCTAACATAAACACAAGCAGAAGAGTTAAACAATCTCAAAAAGTTATTACTTATCCATCAAAGTTCAAAGAATTGTTTGCTAGGTATCACAGCATGTGTTTTTGCAAGCCAACAGTGCGGCCTCAGTTGCTTGTGTCCAACACTTTGTGTTGGTTGTTGTCACAATCACAATAAAATGAGGTTGCAAGCAAAAAGGCTCCAACTCTCAGGAAAAGGAAAGGTTAGAACTTAGAAGGGAGATAAGGGAGAGGGGTTGAGGGGGACCTCATATGCTCCTCCTAGGATTGCAAGATTAGATCATTAGCAACTTTACTTTAGTACTTAGAGAAGATTAGAAATTGATTATTCCGTGATTTATGCCTAGACATCATATAAAGAGATGAGGTAGCTAGAAGACAAAAACCTACAAAAGTCTAGTCTAGTCTAGCTATATGATCGTGGAAACTTACCTAACATTTGCAATGGCAAATTCAACTGCCAACTAAACATAGCTAATACCCTATTGATCAAAATAGTAGCTCCACTTGAAAGAGAGAGACCGTTAATAATTCAACTTCAGAAAGAGAAAGGAGGAGAAGGGGTGTATAGTAAGGGAGGGAATGTCCAATTCCACAAGAAGCAAAATGGAATATGATCAAGGAGCAAAAATGATAGATGAAGCTAGGGTGTGAAAAAAACTAGTTCACTTGCCCTCTGCCCTGCCCTTAATCTGACCTTGACTTGATATTATTTGGGTTACTTTTAATACTGACCCAAATAATGACTAGACTTGGTTTAATAATAACTCATTGACTCAAAACTTGACCTATACTCATTATGTGAAGAAAAAAAAATCACAATTACATTAAAAGAAAAATTTAAACGTAAAACAATTATGTCAAATTTTTCTTACGAAAAATATTTCCATAAAAAATTATCACAAAAAATTTTTACGAAAAATATTTTCATCAAAATTTGTGACTAAAAATACTTTTATAAACAGATTTGACCGAAAAAAAATTTTGTCAAATTTTTTTACGGAATCTAAATTTCGCAAAATATTTCACAAAAAAACATATTCATCAAAATTTTCGACAAAACACATTTCCATCGAAATTTTTTGACGGAAAAATTTTTCATCAAAATTCTTTACAGAATTAAAATTTCGGCAAAAGTTTTCGACGGAAATATTTTCGTTAAATTTTTGACCAAAAAAAAAATTTCTTCGAAACTTTTAGCGAAACACATTTTCATCGAAAATTTTCGACTAAATATTTTCGTCAAGTTTTTGATAAAAAATATTTCCATCAAAATTTTAAATAGAACACATTTCTGTCAAAAAAAATTTCGATAAAATTTTTTGACAGAAATAATATTCTGTCAAAATTCTTTAGAGAATATAAATTTCGTCGAAAGTTTCGAATGAAACATTTTCCTCGAAACAATTTTCATCGAAATTTTCGTCGAATACTAGTTCAGAAACTAAATTTCGATAGAAAATTTATTTTTGTAAAAATTTTCATTAGAAAAAAAATTCTGTCGCTTTTCGACAAAAATATTTCGACGAAAAAAATACTTTTGTGACAAAATTTTCATCGTTTGCAACGTAAAAATTTCGACGAAATTTTGTGACGAAACTAAGTAAAAAACGAGTCAGGTCGGATTTGACTCACTTCAGAAATCAAGTCAGACCCACTTCAGAAACTAAGTCAGGTCAGATTCGACCTGATTCTGAACTAGTTCAGAAAAATTCAAACTAAATCAGACCTGACTTGGATCAAATTAAAACGAGTCGGGTCAAAATACCTGACTTATAAAAATCAAGTTAGGTCGAGTCGACACAAAACTTGACTCGACCTGACCCATGCACAGCGCTAGATGAAGCCATAATAAAAAGCTAGGATTGATTGGTTGCCCCTGTACGGCAAATATTCGTGTCACGCTTTACTGGAAGAAAGGATATATCAACCTTTTTTTGGACCCTCCATCAGGCCTCTCATGTCTAGCTCAAAATCAAAGATATCTTTCGTAAGACACTTATCATCCCACCATCATGACAACGGATGATCCTTTCATGATTCCATGTTGTCACCTTCATGAATGAACCTAAGCCTAGTTGTAATTTTTATAATCTGACTTGAGCGGGGATTGCGGTAAGCAGGAGTGTAAATAGGTTGAGCTATGCTCATCTTTGATTTAAAGAGGTCATATTTTTGCAAAATATTTAGGTCTGTCATATATTTAAAAGACAAAAGCTTCGACCTCAGTCTGTTAGCCTGCTTAAGCTTATTAGGTATTTAATAATTAAAAAAATTATTTTATTATTCGAACTTATTAAAATAATAATTTATTACTTTTATCTAAAACAAATAATATGATATAGGTTGGCATATAGGTTTATAGGTTAGACATATAAAAGAAAACCTAAAGCCTATTTTCTAAATAGGTTGTTTTTAGGCTTGAATATATTGTATTTGACTATTTATTATAGATTTATTATAAGTCAAGTCTGGCAATCCGAGCCGTAAACCCCTGTTAGGCCGACTGACTCATTTACAATCTGATCTGGATAAAATACGATAGGTCCATCAAAAGTCCACGTACATAAGGACAAGGCCCTGTATTTGGTCTGATCACAACTGAGGTGCAAATTAATATATCCCATTGTCAATGGAGCCATTATTTCAAGAGTCTCTACAAGACTCTCGAAATAAGTTTCAAGAAATCAAGTATATAATTAACAAGATGCCATTATTGCTAAGTTACTGTTTATATGAATCTCTGGCTGTTGCATGTTGACAATCTTTTGAAGAAAAAAACATGTGAAATCCAGTTGTCTTATTTGTCAATTCTTGGCAAGAAATGAGGAGAGTAGTGCACAATTCAGATTATGGCTGATCGAACGACATGTGAGAAAGTTCGTTGATAGTGAATCCCATTTTTGTGAAAATACCTGAGCAAGCATACGAGGTTTAAACATTTCCTCACGTTCTTCTGGTTTATGTTTAGTTCGAAACATATCCATTGGGGCCCTACGATATCGACATTGGGAGGTGGTGACACCAATATCCAGGTCTAATTGGCAATGAGGGCAGCATATTCTTATTCCATGGCTTTGAGATGTAGAGGGATCAAGAGAAGAACTTTGAACAATTATAGAAATGCAGAAGCCATAGATTACATATTGAGGTTAGCCACAAAAATTAAATTAGAGAGGAAGATAAATAAATAAACATAAAGAAAAACAGTAACCTCTATATTGCTAATAGCTTTCAGCCATGTTATCCTATGATCGATGTATTATCCGTTAATTTATTTGTCATTTCATTAAGTTTTGTTTAACTACTTTTCTATCAAGTTTTCGATGTCTTCCTATGTGTCATGCTCTTTGTAACAAAATTGTTCTTAATGAAGCATATGGAGTCTTCAAATAATATGCACAACTTGTCTGAATCTATATTTTTTCATCTTTTTAGACACATGTATTATTACTTTTTGTCAAATAATTTTATTTTTTATCTTATCCATTTGTATATAACCACGTATTTACTTGTCGGCAACATTCAACTACATATAACATTGTATGCATGACTATTGTTTTATAGAAATTTTCTTTTAGCATTAGATGAATTTTGGAATCACACAAAAATCTTGATTCACAATATTATTTCATCCAACCTGCCCTGATTTTTTAGTTTACATCCTCATGAATCTCGCTCTCCCTTGCAACATTGATCAAAATATCTAAAAACATCTTTCTTAAATATCTCGTCCTAACATTTGCTTGGCATCATCTCATACCTTGGGTATCTAATACTGTGTAGAAAAGTAAATAGAAAATTTATTGATTTATGATGTTTATGTATGAGATAAACACGAGTAATTATACATTGGTCTATGAAAGATATTAGTTGTGATACTTTTTTTCTTTTCTTTTCGGTAAACATTAGTTGTGATACTTTAATCCCTCAAAGTTTTTGTTTGTACAAATTAGTTCTTGAAGTTCTCAACATTTACACTAGCTAAGTTGTTAACTCTGCTAACAAGTTCATCTTTTCATGGATCAAAGCAACACATCTTTTTGGAACCAATATGTATAATCCAACAACTTAAAATTTTAGCATAATTAATTTATGACATATCATAACTTTTACAACTGAGTGTGAGATCTTTAATCCTTGCCAACAACAGCAGGAAAATTCTAAAGAGCTAATTATCATTATAACTATGGTAACTTAAACTTATATTTTCTTTGAATAATAACATATTTTACTTTTTATAATATATATAAAATACATTAAAATAAAAGATAATGATATTTTTTTTACATTTTTCTTACCACTTTTTTTACAGGAGACTAATTGCAACAGAGGATTCGCATATTTAGTCGGTGTTATATTGAATCAATTCATATGCAAGGAATAAAATGATATAGATTTTACAGTACAAAAGTAACAAGCAAATATAATCTAAATAAAATAAATTGACAATGTGGACAAGTCTATTACCTATTATCAGATAAACAAACAACAATGCTGGACAAGGACAAAAGAGTTTCTGTGAAGATACAGCAAATCCACCAACACGGTTAAGAAATTCAGAATACCACACCTTTTACAAGACAAGTCCATTCTACAATACTACATTGTTTTGGAAAAAGTAGGCTATTGATCTTATCTTGGATTTTTAGCCTGTCATAATCTATAGACATGAATATACCAGCAAAAGGCAGATACCAAGAACAGAAATGAAAAGAGACAAGTGGGAAGACAACTAAAAGTTATAAAAAGAACATTCAATAGTGTATGCGCTAGCAAGTTGTACGTGGGGGTTCTACTTCTACATAAGTTCCAATCAAACTGGTATACAATACAAGTCTCTCTCTCTCTCTCTCTCTCACACACACACACACACACACACAAAGGATGTCTTAATTTTTAGGTCTTGCTATATTAAGACATTGTAACTGTAAAATAGTGTTATCTACTTCTATACATAGCACAGAGCATTTATTGTAGTTACATGATTTAAAAACTTCATCTTTCTTGTTCTTAAACCAAACTTTCATAGCCAATACTAAGGTAATCGTTGTATATTTCTTGCCATATGGATCATCAAAGGCTAGAGCCATGCCCATCTGAAAAATTCTCATTTTCAGAGAGACTACTGTGCCCAAAACCTTCTATGGATACCCAAACAGACAAGAGTCAGACACAAAAGGAAGATCAGAAACACCCACATGACTCAGTTCCTCATCTTCTACTAGATCTAAGTCTCTCCAGCAAGGATTCAGGTGATGACTCAAAACCAGAACTCAACCTCCTCAATTGTTTGGATACAAATTTATCAGAAAACTCCTCAGAATCTAGTCAAGGAAATGAACTGGATCCCCGGGTATTCTCATGCAACTACTGCCAGAGAAAATTTTATAGTTCCCAGGCATTAGGGGGACACCAAAATGCACACAAGCGTGAAAGAACTTTGGCAAGAAGAGGATACAAAGCTGGTGCTGCAGTTTCATTAGATTTTGGACAGAGGTACTCTAGTATGGCTTCTCTTCCTTCACATGGCTTATGTAACAAACCACTTGGAATTCAGGTGCATTCTATGATTAACAAACCTTCTTATCAAACACCCTTTTTTGGTTTGTGTCGTTCCCATGGCCAAAACGGGTGGCTGAGGCAGCCTTTGAATTCACAACCAGCTATTGGGAAGCTTTCATGGGGCAATTTTCATGGTGGAACAGAAACTGAATCATCCTTGGCCGGTGGCATTTCAAGGTTGGGGAAGTTTTCTACAAGGCTTGTAACAGAAGGATTTGGAGGTTACTGGTTGGATAGCATTACCCATTTGAAGTCTAAACAAGAGAAGTTGCAGAAGCTTGACTTGTCCCTCAAGCTCTAAGTAGTCACCCTTCAACATGCCATAACCAAGTTTATTCCTGTCTTTTCTCATTGGCCAAGAGCTTTCTACCTTTTTACTTTTTACTTCTTTTGTCCTCATGTATCTCTTGTTCCCATAAGGTCTAAATGAACGCATTTTGGCTACTTACCAGAGGTTGTCTTTTGCTATTATTTGTTTTCATTTTTTATAAACAAATGAATCTCCAAGGATTATAAGTTCCATCAAGCTTTAAGTTGCTTTGGAATAGCATTAAGTAATTCAAACTCTCTTATGGGCAAGAGCTAATACACTTGGTAGGGAATTCTTCAATGCTTTTAGGTGTTCAATAATTGAATTGAAAATGATAAAATTTGATAAGTCTGCGAGTGTTTGATTCATCCAAAAACATAAGCCAGTTATATATATTAGATAATTAAAGAACCAACGGACACTTGAATGATATTTAAATATATTTTGGTCAAGCTACTTAGTTATTTACTGTCCTACTCTTGAATACCAAGCATATTCTTCTCCCAGAATTAAGAATTTAAACAAGTAAAAAATAAGAGATATCCAAGGGAATTGTCTTTGAGTATAGGTATATTTGACAATGCCATGTCAACCTGGGATTGTTTGGAGCAAGGTATATCTGTCTCACATATTGGGTGACAAAGGTGTGCACAATATGTAGAAATTTGGATGCTAGTGACTCTCTTTTTAATAATTCTTGTGGACGATTGGTCCACCAAAATGCACAGTTTCCATGGTTGTGACTGTTTCACTGACTCCTACTTTGACCCACCTGTGGTTAGAGAAATCGACCATCTCTATTGGGATCAAATAAGTAGGTGAGGCAAGCCATGTGAAAGTAAGCCTCAAAATGACACTCAGCTATGCTATCACAATCACATCATTTAAAAGATAAAATAAAAAATAAAATATTATTGATTAAAATCTTGAATCTCTGAAGCGACTCACGAAATTGTAGGTCCACAAATCTCAGTTTAATCATGAAACATAAAGTATTATGATGGAATTAAGGAGCAAATGCAACTGAAAGTCAAGTCATTATGACAGTTAATAATCATAGTAATCTCACGCTAATAGGGGATCTATAGGATATGAGATGTTTCCAAACATCATGTGTTTGGAGTTGGGCTTTCTTCTTACCAGATATAGCACTTCGGTTGGGCTATCTATTTTACTTGTGGTGGCATACCTCAGTCTGCACCATTCGTCCAATAAAATATTTACAACCTTCAATTTTGCCTTCCAACCAAGAAAGAAACACAAATGAACAAAACATGTGGAGCTATCATTTTGCTAAGATTTGGTGAAATTTTGAAGCAAAAAACTGCCTCTTGCTCATCAAGATCTAATCAAATTTGAGATTATCTGTCCTCATCTTCAATAGAAGTACGATATGAAATTTGAATTAACATCAACATCTAAGTAGGCTAGTGAAGCAGTATATGCTTGTTCTTTTCCATTCTTATTATTCTACTTTTAATTTGGTATCACTGTTTGTATGTGTCCCCTTTACCAAATTAGTAGCATCTATCAGATAATAGATTTTAAAAGTATTATTTTTATTTCCCTTTCACCAAAATAAGTTTAAGTCATACTCACTTCATCTATAAAGAAACACGCAAAGTTATGTAGTTATGAATAACTTGCGGACGAATTCACCACTTCAATCCTGCTACTAGGCCTTATAAGGAAAATTTTATGGTTTAACTTTAACAATACGACATGCAATACACACATGGTAAGTCTTGCATCTGTAGTTTCAATTTCACTTTAACAGAAATAAAAGGGTAATAATTATATTTGAATATGTCTATTTTCTATCAGGCTAAAAAATTCATTTGACAACTACATGTTTTATGAACTTATAGGAAGGAACGATTATCTTGAAGTATACTGACTTTAACATATCTTGTATACGCTTCTCCCGGACAGCAACGTGCGACATCATTCAAGTTTGTTCATTCCTCCAAATTTTCGCTTCATTTGTGTATCTTACTAGCTTAGTTTAGTTCTATTAATTTGTAACATGAGATAAAAAGCCATTAATTGTTTCATTAAAATGATTAGAATTTTATTTTATTAGAGACACAGTATAGATTGTTATAATTATATAACGAAAACCCTTAGAAATTAAAAATATGACAAATAAAAACTGACTAGATTTAGGAAACAAAGAATATGTTTAATTGTATTCTACTTCTTTTTTTCTTCAAACTATTTTGTAGAGTAACCAATGAAATGGTATTTTTTTTTTAAAGTTAAAAGTCAAAATACAAAACAGAAACAATTAAAATATATTCCATTTGATTCAAAAAACTAAAGAGTAAATGTAATTTTTAGAACTATTTATATAAAACAGGTATGATCAAACTGATTTTTTATTTTTTATATTCTAAAAATTAAAAAATTATTTTTGAAAACAGAAATCAAACATACCCCCAAGTTTCTACACTCAGAACCTTAACAACCAAATGAAACCAACACCACTCGCACTTTGACTTTCACTGGCAAGAGATTCAAATGCTTATACGCGTAACTAGCATTATTCAGCTGTTCCCCACTACTAATCAATTGTCACCAAACATTATCAGTCACTGTTCACACTTCATAGTTTGGAAACCAGACATCATAATCATAAAAGTGGATAAGCATGTATGATTTTCTACAGAGAAAAAAACCTTCCGTTAAAGATGTGGTAAGTAACTATGTTTTGTTTTCTCTCCTTTTTCTCGGGGAGAAAGGGATCCACAGCAAAAATCACAAATACAATACGGCCATTTCCTATTTATGTTAATGCAAGCTCCACCAGCACCAACTATAAATCTGAAGCATTGGTCACCAGAAAAACAAAAATGTATACCTGCTTAGATTCAGATTTCACTGACAAAATACACGAGAGATATGATCTAATGGCTTATCTCATCTAGAACATTGAAATTTCAGTGCTCTTATTTCCTTTCAATAAAAGATTTAACCCTTTCCATCCATCTTACGAGCTCTGTTTTATCCTTGTGTTTCATGTATTGATGCAGGAAAATGACAAGGTCATCATTTATACCCCTAGCTTCCAAGTAATCATAAAGGCTATCTTGCAACTCATCATCCAATTCCCTGCCAAGAACCAACAGCAAAAGGTGGGAACACTATTCTAAATCTAACTATCATCCAAAGTTTTAAGCCAACAAATAGGAGTAGAAATGAGTGGGTAAACCTACTTGAAATCAGGACCAGCATAGGGCTCAGCTAGCATCTTCTCATTTGAACGTATGAACAGCCTTGTTATCTCTATACTGTCTGGCCAAGCAGAGCACATGATTTCCAGGACACCACCTTCTCCCTTGGAGATACTCACAATTAAAGTAATGTGTAGCTGCACGTCATCCACAGTAGCTACACCACCACTTGCACTCGGAGCAGGAACAGCTCCATCAAACATGGTGACTTCAACTTTAACATCTTCGTCTTCAAATTTTCTTTTCAATGTAATCCATCGGTCCCCAGGTCGGCCATCCACCATAAAGGAACCAAACTTGGTAACAGGCTGCAAAACAAGAACACCCCGTTAAGTATTCATGTTCAAAAATATATTTTACCAATCCAACTGAAGAGAGTTGAAAAATTTCCCCAGATGGTGCTGGTTGCAAAGAAAATTATACAAAATAAGAAAATTTCTAGCAGAATCTAAAAATCATAGCTTTTTCCCCTAACTTCATTCTGAAAATCACATATGAGCAGCTCCTAAATATTAGAAAGTCCTTTCCTTTTCCATCATTCTATCGATAACAGAGTAAATCCAGAATACCCATTTTTCCCTAATCAAAAACCCATTACGCACACAACCACGAATTACGAAAAAGAACAAAGGGGTAAAAATTTGATGACTGTGAAGTAAGAGGGAAAAGGAAAAGCATACGTTGCTGGGAGGAGAAGATTGAAGCTCCAACTGAATCTCGTTGCGAAGGAGTCTCAAAATGTTTCCTTCGAAAGCTGATTTGCGCATGTCGGAGATGTAAGTTCTTCGGGGCAGGTGGCGAGAAATGCATAATTGTTGTTGTTGATGCAGAAGTTGGAGGGTTAGGGTTAGGGTTTTTCTGAGGGAAAGGGAACGGAACAAGCGCGCCATCGAACAACACAAACTAGGAAACACAAATGCAGGGTTTAGAGCCAAAGGGTTTATGAAATTCCAGAACAAGAATCAACACAACCCACATGGAAGGCTCCAAAAATATTCAGAAATATTAAAAATGTATTTATTTTTATTTAGTTATCGAGTTAAACAAAGAAAAAGGCTTTTTTTGCATATAATTTAAGGGTTTATTAATATAATGACAAAGGAGATAAATTATCTTATGTTATAGAGACAAATTTGAATGCTCTATCACATGAAAAAATAAAATTAAAAGTGACACAATTATTAAAAAGTATGTAGGAGAGAAAACTTATCTTATATAACATAAGAATAATTTTTTTCCATAATTTAACTATAAGATATATTATCTAACGTGTCGGCATGTCGTGTCACGTTTTTCGTGTTGGTATTAATATCGTTACAACACATGTTGCAAGTTGCAACATACAAAAATAATGGGATTTACTTTTTTTTCTTTCTCTGTTTTTTTTTTCTTTCTATTTCTTCTCCACAACTCATCCACTTTTTTTAGTATGTTGCATTAGACAGATTTATTTCCTTTTAATTATTGGGTCAAACTTGAATTTGTGAATTAAAAAAAATGAGAATTTGTGCTGTCTTTTTTACATTGTGGTTACTAAAAACAAAAAAAGTTATTTGAAAAATATGAAACAAATTAAATGAAAATAATCTTGATGGATCATTCTACTGCAAGTAACAAGAAATTGAAACAAAAAAATTTGAAGGAAAAAAAAAAAAAAAAGATCAATAGCTATACCCCTTTCTTGTTCATGTATTTTTTTTTTTTTTTGGTAACACTTGTTCATGTATTTTATAGACACTGCCATTATGTATTTCAACATAACGTTTTAACTTTGTACAGTACAAGCACAGGCTAAGTTTGTTTGTTTACGTGTGGCTATACTTACAGAGCTAGGATATTCTAACTACTTTTTTTTTTACTACCACTTCACTATCACTCTAATCACCATTTGATTAAAGGAAAAGTTGAATGAAGAGAGAAAAAAAAAATAACTTTTGAATCCAATGGTGATTAAAGTGATAGTGGAATGATAGTAAAAAAAAAATAGGTAGTAAGAATATCCTACTTCATAGTTATATAACATTATGCGCTTAGAATGATACCCTACAGTTAAATGGCATTGGAGTCCTAGCGATACAACGGATAATTAATGAAACCATAACGATCAGAGCATGCAAGAACATCTGCGTACAGACCTCACAAGATTTCACGCGAGACATTGATTTGGAGAAAAAAGTATGAGAAAGAAAAAGATATAGAAAAATAAATGAAAAATATTAAATTTCCTTGAAGGATAAGTTAGTACGTGAATCTAACATTACCTTGATGAAAACTGGTGCGACTTCTACTCAAGGATGTTAGATACTCAAAATGTTTTCAGCCTTTCAGGTATAAACTGATACACATACCAGCAATTACTGAAATTATGCCAAGGAAATGTCTTCAAAGCCAGTGTAATCTTATGCCAGTGCACCAAATACAAGCATGTAACTCAGGAATCCAAGATACTGGTATACCAAAATATAAAAGAAATGATAGACCATTTCATAGTTGTAAAACAATCTAAAGATTATAATTAAAGTAAATATCTTTTTAGGTCCTCAACAAAAAAACACATAACCCATTTTAATTTTTTTTAAAAAAAAATTCATATTAATCCTTTTTTAGGAATTAACATGAGTATTTTTTTAATTTTTGAGATATCACAATTTCAAAAAATTGAAATTTTGGAGCACAAGTCGATTTTTTTTTAAGAGATTAAAATAAATTGTGTGTTTTGTTAAAGACTCAAAATGGTATTTACTTTTATAATCATCTCTGAAGAATGAGTACATTTTTTCCAAAAGGAAAAATTAACAGCATATTTGGTATCTTTTTTTTTTAGTTAAAAACTACTTTCAAGCTAAAATTAAAAGAAAAGCTAAAAGTTATTTAGTGATTATATAAATTTATTCTGATGGTTTTGAAAGAGCAAAGATAAAATAATTTATTATTAAAGTAAAGGATAAAATCTATAAATACAAATTTAAAATAAGGATAAAATTGTAAAATAAATATAAGAAGTCAAAAAAGTTATAATAAGAGAGTTTTTTTTTTTTTTTTTTTGAAAACTAATAGGAGAGGTTTTATGAAAACATGTTTGGCTAAACTTCTACTTTTTAAAGAAAAGAGAAACTAAAAATAAGAGAGGCCAAACAGGGCACTGAGGATGATCAGCTGTTTACTTCTAAGTGCCCGTCAACCACTTGAACTAATTTACCATACAAGTGCTTAACAGTACCTGAGCATAAATATCATGAGTAGCGGGTCCATCTAAATTTTTCCTTCCAAATATCCGAAGGTGATTAATGAGACATAACCATCAAGAACCTAACAGTGAGAAGATAAGCATTCACTTTTAAAAGATAAAAAAGTTGAGTTGACAAGAAAAAGTCAAGGGGGTTCCTCAACTTAATGACAAAGCTAACACTTCAGATATGCGTTGTACACATTTCATGTTTAAACTTCAAATAAGAACAGGTTCACACCGAATATCATAACATAAACTCACTTTTTTTGGTTTAATAATAGTATATTTGTACATATTTGGAAGAATTTAAAGATTCGGAGTATTCTTCCTAGACGTATGTTAAGCACGTATGCTGTCATCTGTGTACTTGTAAATTCAAAAGCATTCATGGGAATAATCATTTGAATCCAAGAACATGTACAAAATGGAAAAGTATAAAATATCAACCAAAACTCTATATACCACTTTTTGGATTTACATTATATCATTATCATCCACGGGAGAGAAACAAAGTGAACTGCCTGATAAAGAGTACCATGATTTTCAGTCAAAATAAAGCCAGCCCCTCCTTAGGGTGATTTCACGCATGATGCATCCAAATTTTACTCCCCAAGACCTTCAAAATGATCATGGCCTATAAAAAATCTGTTAATTTAGTGGATCCTTACATGATTGCAGGCAGCATAAAGCCCAACTAGGAATTGCTTTCAAGTTACCACCTACAACAATTAAACTGATGCACCAACGATAGTTTTCTCATTTAAATCTTCCTTCCCAACATAACTCAAAAAATTCTTCCAATGAAGGAGGGGGTTGACAGGTTTGGGAATCTGTGGAACATAATTAAATAACTATTCACTTACTAAAAAAAATATCAATAAACAGCCCTATGGCTTGTGATCAATTATGTACAATGACTTCAAAGTTTTCGTAAGAGCCTAGTACCTCAAGAAGCCCCTCCACGTTGATTCTGGCCTTTTGGGTCCTGAACAGAAGAATTTGGAGTTGCGAAGGAACCCTTACTCTCTTCACCTAATTCTGGCTTTGACTTAGGAGAATTATTCTTACCAAAATGGTCTTCCTCTAAAGCTTTATTTGATGCTGAACTGAAACTTGTGCCCCTTGGTGCAGAAGAATTTAGGTGTTTTTTCTCATCATCTGTTACCTGATTTTGGGCTAGGTTGCTGCTTGATTGTTTCTTTGTTTCAACCACAATCTCTTTCACAGTCTCTTCAAGTTTCTCAAGCCTCACTTTCACCTCTGAAAGCTGGGGATCAGATTTCGCTTCCTTTTCCTCGGGGGGATTTAGTTCCGTTTCTTTTTCTTTTTCCTTTGCTTCTTCCTCTTCCTTCTGCTTCCGTTTCTGCTCCACTTCCTAGAAAATGATTTGGAGAATAGCCATTATCAATAGGGAATACCAACCCAAAAAATGGGGTACTACTTCTTCGATTATTTAAAATCATAATTACAAGGTCAAAGTGATACACAGATAAAAATCCACAATTCTAATTTACAAAGTACAAACAAAAAACAAGTCCCACAAAAACATAGAATATAATCTAGGAAACTCTAATATATTTCAAATAAATAGTAAATAAGTAGCACACGATATCTCTCATAGTTCTCAACCCACAACTCCACAGTGCTGCCACAACAAATAACTGCAGAATGCATGAACATATCTAGGATATGATCTATACAGTACTAATGTCTGTCCAGGAAAAAATGGATCAGAACACTGAATGTCTATACCAGCCTTGTCATATTATCATATACACTGAATAGTATATATGATGCTAGAAAACTTCCCCCTCTTATACTACAATATCAGTACAAAGGAAAGAAAACGTACCACCTCCATTGTTCTCATTCTATAACGAGAATACTGCGCCACCAAATATACAGCTGTGGCAGTAATAACTTATTTAGATGTTAGCAGTAGAAATTTTTGAAAAAAAATAAAATAATAATAACGTCAATGATAGAAGAAAAACTTAAAAGGCGTGAGTATCATACCCAAGGAAGGCAAACAGGCAACAAAAAATTGCCAAAGATGGAAATCAAACCTGATCAAGATAGACAGAGATACAAAGTAAGATTTTTTTTTTTTTTTTTTTTTTTTTTCACAACCATTAACAGCATAAACAAATATATGAATCTTCTCGAAAAAAAGAATGAACAGGGTTTTTAGTGTAATTCCTTGCAGCTTGAAACTCCAAATGTGGTAGTAAAAAACAGATGTACATAAAGCTAGCAAAATGATGACAGTATGGGATTAAAATATCAAAGAAACAGTGAAGTACAGGAGTCTTCTCAAGAAAAGGGGGGAAATGAACAGGGGGAAACAGTGAAATGAAGGTGTTCGACGAAATGCCAAAGAGAGCAAAACCTGAATTAACCCGAGCAACAAAAGATATAGGGCTGAAAGAATGAAAGAAAGAGGAAAAGGGATACCCAAACTCCTTTTTCTTTGATGGGTCAGAGAAAAGGATCTTAGCGGCGGTCGTCATGTCGAGATTCTCCAGCTGCCGATACCTTTCATCGGCGATGATGTCGCTGTTCATCTTCTTCGCTGGATTGCTTGACGTGCTTTTGGCGTCGCTGCAGAACGATGTTGTCCGAAGAAACTTGAATCGTCCCGAGAAGCGCAACCACCGTCCTCCGCCGCCAAACATCGGAACCCCTCTACAACCCTAAACATCCACCTCCGAAGCCTCCTATTGAAAATTCGGATCGAGAATACCCGGCCCAAAAATTGGGTGGACCGGGCCCATCACGGCCCATTTATATATTATTATTTAACAGAAGTAATTTATGTTGAATTAAAATAAAGAGGAAGGTTATACTTGTAATCTATTTTCATTTTTAATATTTTATAATTATATCTTAACCATTGGTTTTCGTCAATTAATTATTACTCTTTTTCTAAATTAAATTTATTAATTAATTATTAATTCACAATAAATGATAACCGTTGATTGACGAAAATCAACGGTTAAGATATTGTTGTAAGAAGTTGTAATTTGTAAGTAAAACCTTCCTTTAAAATAAATAATTATTTTTTCTTGAAAGAAGGTTATACTTACCACCTATTTTCGTTTACAACCTCTTATAATCATATTTTAATCGTTGATTTCAGCCAATCTACCGGTTATAATTCATTAGATCATATTTATTAATTTCAAATAAATTATAACAGTCAGATTGACAGAAATCAATGGTTAAAATATGATTATAAGAGATTATAAATAAAAATTGGTTGCAAGTAGGGGTGGTAAACGAGCTAGGGGCCTTTCAGGGGCCTTTGGCTCGGCTCGTAAAGGCCTGAGCTTGTTTAATAAAAGCTCGTTTGGAACCAGACTTGGACTTGTATAAAAGCTCGTTTAATAAAAAGGCCTCAGGCTCTAATTCAGAAGCTCGGCCTTAGAGCCTCCCAGGCTAGCCTAGTATATAAATATTTATTTATACTTTTTATACTACTTGTAATAACTCTCTCTCATCAATTTATTTCACCCCATTTTATTGGTTTAACAGACTTTTTGAATGATTTTGTTTTATATTATGCTATTTGGATATATATATTGAATTTATGTATATTTATGGAATTACTAGTGCTGTTCTATATTATCATTCATCTTCACACAAACAAACCCACAAAAACTTATTCGTTCCACTGTGCACTGCTTGTTTGTGTCAATTTATTTTTTATTTTATTTATTTATTTTTATTTTTGTTGGCACTTTTTTTATAATGGGCTAAGATAATATAACATGTTATCTACCTTCTCTCACTTTAATTTTATTTATTTATTGTAGACTTTGTAAATTATTGCTGCAAATTGGAAACTAAGGTTTCTATCTAGAAATTGATTTTTTGTGGAATTCTGTTCTCTTATTTTTATTCTTTAACATGCTAACAGGCTAAGACAGGCTTCACGCAGGCTTTTATTTTTTGTAAATAAACCAGGTCACAGGCCAATATTATATTCGTAACAGGTAACAGGCTAAGGTCAGTCGGACACGTTTAAATACAGGCTTAGCCCGTTAAGATCAAAGCTCGTTTCGGCTCGGCCCGTTAACACCCCTAGTTGCAAGTATATCTTTTCCCTCTTCCTTATTTAGGATTTTTTTTAATAAAAACAAAATGTTTGAATCTATAAAATTAATGTGAACATAATCTATATCTAAACAGATGTTTATTAGTTTACCAAAAAAAAAAAAAACACATCTTTGAGACAAGCTTTTTTTCCTGCTGATTTAAAAATGATGTGGGGTCTATTTGATTTTTTTTTCTCTTTTTTTTTTTTGGTAAGTCACATTGCTGGTTTGTGAGTGCAACTGGAGAGAAAATTATTCATGTTAAAGGAGACTAATAAACCCCATTAAAAAATCTATTAATAGATAAGGAAAGGTTATAGTTATTATCTCTTTTTTTTACTACTAAATCTTAACTATTGATTTTTGTCAATCTAACGATTGTAATTTATTGAGTCATATTTATTAATTAATTATTAATTTTCAATAAATTATAACGGTTAGATTGACTGAAATCAAATGTTAGAATTTGATAATAAGAGATAGTAAGAAGAAGGGGTAGTAAGTATAACCTCTTCATATTAAATATTCTAAATGTAAATATTTAGTATAACTAAGTGTAAGCCCAGCAATTAAATTAAATACATTCAATTTTCAGTTCTTACTATATTTCTGTTTTTTTTATTTGTAATACATTCCTTGCCAATTTACTATTCCAACTACTAAACTTTAACATTTTTTATTCGAACTGGGATATGAAAAATTTTATTGGCCCCAAAACCGGTTGTGGAATATCTCATTTCTGTTTAAAAATTGATGTCACGAATCTCAATCACATGAGATTAGAATTTGTTGGTGCTATTATTTACAATACCCACGTGATGGCAAAGTTAAAGTCTATGATATGCATGATTATCATCATCACAAATAAACAACAATACAAGGATAAGTGAGGCATAATTAACTACTAGTCCTTCCTTCAACTTTCTGGGTCAAAGTCACTGTCTTTTCCATGTTGTTCACTTGAATTTGGGTGAAACGTAGATTCCAAAAAAAGGGAAATCCGAGTTAATGTCCACATTAACTCTATTCAAATCTCAATTATATTCTTTAATCCAAAAAAAAAACTTATTAACATGGGTTTTATTAGTATTATGTAACATGATGCAAGTATTGTTTTCAACTCTCGCATCAAAAGAGAGAGAAAATGAAATGATGAAAGAGAAAGAAAAATATGTGAACCCTACCTCTTTAATGTGTGTGTAGGAAAATGAAGTTATATTATGTTAAATGATAAACATAAAATCCTATTAACATATGATTGGAGTTGGACCCCACTTCCCTTTCCCGCAAAAGGACCAAAACCATCGTGACGCTCCATTTTCTTTACTTTAAGATTAAAACTCCACTAAGTCACTAACAACAACTCATAATATACACATTATATACAACCCCACCCATACACCATAATGATGAACAAACGTTACTTCCTTTCTCCTGAGGATTTTTTTTTTCTTTTAATTTTTTTAAAAATATTCACAAACCAGCTCATATTAAGGCAGAACCGTAATTTTGCCACAAAACAGAGGCCATTCACGTAAAAAACTCCGATTTATAAATACAGTTACATATAATGTAAGGGTTTTATGCAACACACAAAAAGTGAATGGGACCCACTAAAAAAGAAGAGAGAGAAAATAAAAAAGTTACACTTTTTGTGTGTTATACATGAAAAATAAAACCCATAATGTAATGTAATGTATGTAACACACTATGCTCTGAATTAACATACGAGCACCGGCAACAACAACAGCAAGCATAAGAACCTTCTCATTCTCTTCTTTTTCTTCTTCTTAGTGTTTTGCATTTTTATTTTTTTTGAAAATTCAGATACCCAATTGGAAAAAGTAAATAACTTTGAAAACTTTCCAGGGAAAGAAAACCCACCCCACCTACGTTTTACCACTGAACTCTGCTTTTTATTAGTTCTTCCATATGAAACAGATGAAGTAGTTATCATAACCGAAGCAAAAACGACGCCGCAGAATGCTTTGCAGGAAGAGCTCACGGAACGGCGTCGGTTCGGGATCGGTTCCGGTGTACCTCAACGTCTACGATCTGACACCAATCAACGGTTACGCTTACTGGTTCGGCCTCGGAGTGTACCATTCCGGCGTGCAAGGTTCGTTGTTCAATTCTCAACCCCATTCTTTTACCATTTTGAATCTGCACAAAAACCCACTTCAGATCTACGATCTGTGAGAAAAAACCGATGATGGGTCTCTCTATCTCTCTTGTTTTTTTGAAAAAAATTGGATTTTTTTTTTTTTGTATTTTTTTTGTATTTTTTTTTGGGGTTCAGTTCACGGTGTTGAGTACGCGTTCGGGGCTCACGAGTACCCATCTACGGGAATATTCGAAGGAGAACCGAAAAGGTGTGAAGGGTTCACTTTCAGGAAGACGATACTGATTGGGAAGACTGATATGGGTCCTGGTGAAGTCAGGGTTGTGATGGAAGAGCTTTCTGCTGAGTATAAAGGGAATGCTTACAATCTCATCACAAAAAACTGCAACCATTTCTGCAATGATGTTTGTGTTAGGCTCACTGGAAATCCTATACCCAGTTGGGTCAATCGTCTTGCAAGAATTGGTAACTCACCATCACTACTACTAGTTAAACAACTCTACTGAAAACTGGTTTTAATTTTTCACTTTTTATTGTTTCCTTGTTGAAAATCTATATAACATGTGGCTGTTGTGTTCATTTTTGGTTAAATGATTGTATCTGCAATGACATGTAGTTATTCAGATATGGAAATTAGTTTAATATCGAGGTTATGGGTAATGGAGACTATAATGAAATTATGAAATTAATACCGGACATGCAATGTTTAAAAATCATCCACATGGTGTCAGAATTGTTGAATTTATTTTTATATGATGGGGAAAAATAAATGAAATTACTTTGGAATCATATTTGATTCGTTTGTAAGTAGCACCCCCCATGTCATGTAAATATTTATGGAAAAGTAATTGAGAATGACAAAAACAACAACATTAGTATCTGCCACACTGTAAATATATAGATTCTTTGTGATAATGATTGAGGTAAAGTAAACTTAAGTTTAGGATTAATTAGTTTTCCATATATAAAAGTAAGGAAGAGACATGTATTTTTCTTTTTAATTTTATTTTATTAACTCTTTTTTGCTAAAGTTTCGAAATTGAGATTGGTTTAAGTTCACCTGATTTATTTTATGCTTGGGTGGGTGGGTTGGTTGGCTTATTGTGTTGCAGGTTTTTTGTGCAATTGTGTTCTTCCTGTGACATTGAATTCAACTAAAGTTAGGCATCACAGAATAGAAGACAAGCAATGTGAAGGAGAAAAGCAAGCATTAACAAGTGAATCCAACAAGCTTAATGCTTCAAATTCAACATCCTCGTCTTCATCTTCTCCTGCTTCTAGCTCTGGAGTGCGCAGGGGAAGGAGTAGAACAAGACGTGCCCTTCCTCCATCTTCACCTTTGATTATTGGTTCTTCTTCATCTTGATGTCCAAAATGTGAAAATTTTATATATATTTTTTTTCTCTTTTTGTTTTGTCCAATTACAGATGTTGCTCTAACAAAGAAAAAAGCAACAGATTGGATTTTCAATTGAAAATTGTTATTCTTCATTCTTTTCATCTAATGACTTCACAAAGATACCAAAAAACCAACCAGGAATCCCGGAGCTCATGCTTCCTTTTCTTTCTTTATAGGAAAATTTTGTTTTAATTCTTAAAAAAAGGGGCGGTCATGTTATCATTTTATTCGTACTACTCTTATTATCTGTTTGGTTATCGGTTAACTTAAAATTAATAGTTGAAAAAAAAAATTAACTGTAGTTGATTTCAAATTAATTCAACGGTAATCAAATATGTAGTAAGAGTAGTAAAACTAAAATAATAATAAGGATAATCTTCTCTCTTAAAAAAAATATGATTATATAAGCCATCAAAAATTAATTTTATCAATTTCATCTTTAATAATTTAGTTGCTTATTCATTTTACTATTGTAATCTATCACGCTTTAACGATGTGTTGACACTACGTCATAATATTATAATATTAAGTGTATTAAAATGCGAGTTTTAAATTTTCAAATATTATACGACAAGATGCCACTTATAATCTTTTAATATTAATTTCAATATACAGGGATTATATTCATACACAGACGTACAACTATAATATTTAGAAATTTTACATTGAAATCAAACTATAATATTCATACACCAACGCTTTGAGCAATCAAACTATATTGTATTCGTTTATCACTTTTTATTTACAGATTATGTGCACACGGTCCTGCACCTTCAGACGGAAGTTTAAATTTTTTTAGAATAATTGTACCTTACACTTTTATGTGTGAATCAGAAGTTGAGGCTTACAAAATTATGATATTCTAAAATTTCATATTTCATAGAAAAAAGACATCCATTAATTAAGAGGAAAATTATAAATGAGGTATTTTTAAAAAAGAAAAAGATTTTTTTTAATATTATCAAAAAGATTTTTTTTACATTGATAATATTATAATTAAGAAAATACTTAAATGACCAACACAATTAAGATTTTAATTATAATTTCTCTACTAATTTGTGTTATATAATTTAATTATATATTTAATAATTTTGTTTATAAATGATACTTTAGGCTGTGCATGACAATCATTCTATTCCCTAGCACTATTTCTGAAAAAAATAATTCTTTTATATTTCTGTGTCATGGAATAGTTTATGAGAAAAAAAATTTGTTTGATAACATGTTCTATTTTTTTTCCGAGAATGATAATTGTGCTTGATAACACAACAAATAATATAATAAAAATAATTCCTATTAAATATAAAAAAATTTCGGATCATCACTTTCCTTTCCACATGGCGTGGTTGTGGTGGTGGCGACGACGACAGTACGGTAGTGGTGGTGGCAGTGACATGGTGAAGATAGTGGAGGTGGTTATGACGGCAGTAGATGCGACGATGACAGTGGTAATGGTGGCGGCGGCGGCGGTAGTGGTGGGGATGGTGGTGGTGGAGGTGACGGCAGTGGTTGCGACAATGGTGGTGGGTAAGGTGGTTGGTGGCAGCAATAATGGTAGCAGTGACATAGTGGTGGTGGTTGTGAAGGCATCATGGTGGTGGTGGCAGTGGTTGCGGCGGTGGCGGTGGTAGTGGTGGGGATGGTGGTGGTAGAGGTGACGACAGTGGTTGTGACAATGGTGGTGGGTAAGGTGGTTGGTGGCAGCAATAATGGTAGCAGTGACATAGTGGTGGTGGTTGTGAAGGCATCATGGTGGTGGTGGCAGTGGTAGTGATGGTAATGGCGTGGTGATGATAGTGGTGGGGGTGGTGTAATGGTGGCGATGGTGGTGGTGGTTGGTGCCTTGGTGGCAGCGGCAACGACGATGGCGGTGGTGACTGTAGTGGCTGCGGCAATAGTAGTGGTGGTTGGTGACGTGGTGGTGATGGTAGTGGTGGCGTCGTGGTGGTGGCAGTGATGGCGATGGGGGTGGTGGCAGTGGTGTGTGATGGCGATGACGGCAGTGGTTGCGATGATTGTGGTAGTGGTGATGGTGGTGGCGACGGTGATAGTGGTGATGGTGGCGCCGACGGTAGTTGTGGTGGTGGTGATAGGTGGAGGAGGTGGTGGCATCGTGGTGGTGAGGGGTGGTGACGATGACACTAGTGGTACGATGGTGGAGAGTGATTGAGAGGGATAAATGTTTCTCATTTTTTGTCTGGGAACAAAAAAACAGAAATTTTTTGATTCTTTTTTTTGTTCCTCAGCACAAAAATTAAACCGGTTCATCTTGGAAACAAAAAAAATAAATCAATTTTACCAAATGAGTTTTCTATCCATTTTTGTTTCCAGGAACAAAAATTAAAAAAGAATTGATTCCAGGAAGGTTGTCATGCACACCCTTTTAGTACAAAATGTGAAATTTAAGCGATCTATGCATCCTTTCAAACCCTTAGGGGGCGTTTGATAGAGGATAAATTTTTTTTTATCTGGAAATCATAATTTCCAGGAATATGATGAGAAAATGAGTTTTCTGAGAATGTTACCAAAAAGTTATTTTGTAGGTTAAAATATTCCCGAGAATGTTGGGTTAATTTTCTTGATGCTATGTATGGTTGTATTTAATTTTTCCTTGTCATGAAAATTCTAAAATACCACCCACGAGATGGTATTTTTGGATGGTATTTTCAAAAAAAATTATACACAAAATAAAATCCTGGAAAAATCAGATTCCTGAAATTTTTTTAAAAATCTTGTACCAAATAATGCATTCCTATTTGTCCAACCAAGAAATTCCAAGAAAACAAAAAAAATCGTGTAACAAACGGGCCCTAATTTTGATTTTATATATAAGGTAAAAATAGAGTAAGATGCAATTTAGTAAAACTTCAATGCTCCTGGAATAAGTTGTTTACTGTCCAGCAAAAGCAAAACTCGTAATATTTCCAAAAAAAAAAAAAAGCAAAACTCGTAATTTTATGTTCATAATAGTTTGTTGAATTGATAAGATTGAATAACGTTGACTGTATATCATGTATTTAGAAATAGACAATTTCCTCTTTTCATAAACACGATTTAAAAAATAAAAATGTGTTCAAAATACATGCATTGGAACATTAAGCCTCTTTGGAAAGCAGCCATTATTTTTTTGTTGTGTGGAAGTCGTGAATGATGATAAATTAAGGACATGCTGATTGCAGAGGTGCATAGAATGGATCATATAATGTAATTGCCATTGCCAAGCACTGATAGCGAGAAAGACATGGACTATAGGGGGTGTTTGGTTCAAGTTTTTGGAGAGGATTACCGGTAATCCTTCTTTGGTAAATGTAATTACCACGTTTGGTAGAAGGAATAAATTACGATTCCCGGATATCCAAGGATTACCGGTAATTTGATTTATAAAGAAAAGTCACTATTCAGATTACCAAAAATAATATGGTAATTCGGAATACCAATCAGAATACCAAGTAAAGGGAAAGCACAACAATAAATTTTGAGACAAAAATACCTCAATACACATAAAAATCTAGACCCAATCTATCAATTACAAAAGTAAAAATAGTTTGGGGTTATTTTTGTAAAATAGCCTCATATTCCAAGTCATATTTCGTTCTAAACCAAATATGGAATCAGTAATTTTTACCTAATATTCCCGGTAATATTTTGGCGAACCAAACACATCTTTCGTAAGATTCCAAGTAAACTCAATTTCTACTGAATTCCCATTAATCATGATTTCCGATCACCAAAAAATTTCTCTTGTACCAAACACACCAAAGATGGGTGCTGTCATTTTCTGTCAATGTCTGTCCCTATACTTCATTTTCTTTTTAGGGTAATGACTTTTGCTATTTGGACTTTGCACTTTTTCCTCCCTTAGGACTATTAGAACCAACAAAGCTACATGTTAGAACAACTTCTTTTGACTAGCAATAATGGACACAATTAAGCAAGTAGCAACACACACTTTTCATTTCTTTTCTCTCTTTTTCTTTTCTTTTCTTCACAAGCAAAAAACTCCATGGCTAAGAGCACTATAATATAACTGATCTTTAGGAAGAAAATCCACCAAGTTGCATTAAAATATGGGATAATAATTTGTCCAGTTGCTGGAGAAGTTATTTTCCTTCCAGCAAACAGATACATAAAAAATCTCATTGTTTTTATATATATTTTTTGTTTAATTTTGTAGAGGGCAGAGGTGTTCGCGGTCTAGATTGGATCGGTCTTGGAAGCAAAAATCATCCAATTCAATCCCTTCGGTTTGATCATGTAATCATCCATTCGGTTGAATTTTTTTTTCAAATCTTATCCGATTCAATTTTTTTCGATTTGGATTGAATCAGTTTTCGGTTTTTTGAAAATCTTAAAATTTATTTCATGATTATTGTGCAAATAACATCTTTTGTATAAGGTAAAAGTATTTGTCATTTTAAAAGACATAAAGTTATGTCATTTTAAGAGAGAGATAGACACAAAATAATTTTTTTATTTAAAATTTAAATTAAAAAAAAACATCAACTTTCTCTCTCCCATGATTTTCATTTTTAGTGTCTATGTCTCTCATAAAATGACATAACTTATGTCATTTAAAATGACAAATAACAAACCTTTATATAATAGGCTTTGTAAAAAAAAATTTGAAATAGAAAAGCATACGATAATATGGTTTTTTTTTTGGGCAATGAGATATAAAGCTTTACACAAATAATTTTTTTTTGATGAGATGTGACTAGGTTTTTTCTTGAATTTAGTTGATGGGTTAATGGGTCTTGGGTTTAGAAATTTTTGGGTTATGATTGGGGAAAAATCCAAGTAGGTAAAGGAGAATTAATATATCGGTTTGGATTGGATTGATTTTCATCAACACATTCGAAAACCGATCCAATCCAATTAAAATTTGTGATTTTTTTTTTGTTCTCGATTTTTCGATTTTTGATTTATTCGGTTATCGATTTTTCGGTTCGGTCACCACGGTTTGAATTGGTTTTCATCGGTTGATGAACACCTAAAAGGGCAGGAGAACAAGTTTTTTATTGGGCAAATGCTATCAAAGGCACAAGGAAGTTAAATTGACTTTTTATTGGGCACAATGTTGGTCCTTAAATAACGAATCAACATAGTAATATGGGAACTGTACGATTGTTATGTAGAATTCCAACAATCATAAACCCCAAGTACTAGAAGATTTATTTGCATTAGCAACACAGGCTCAACTATCTCTCTCGAACTTGTTTCTATCTCTCTATTATGACAAGATGGTCTCGTGACAAGGCAAAAAACTAAATCTTGGTAAGTTGAGATGTGAACTAGAAGCTTGTAAATGTGTAAATATGTCAATAGTTCCAACTCATACATTGAGAATTTGTCTAAATCTTAAGTTAAATAGAGTGTGCTGGTGTCAAACTACAAACTATCCAATTAGACTTTAAAAGACGTGAAACGATTTAAGAACTTTGCAATCAAAGATTGCTTTCACCAAGAATGTAGAGGTTAAGGAAGCGCAAAAGTTCGTGGTGCGTACAACAATTGTAAAGAACCACTTCAACTCAAAACCTTAAAGTATTAGGTAAGAGCCTTTTTAATGATTTATATTATTCTCTAACACGCCCCTTTACGCAAGAGCTCTTTGGACTTGAAGCGTGAATTATTACATAGGCCCAATTTTTGATTTACCTTATACTTATTTAATTCTACAAGTGGAGAGCGATGAGGATCGAACTCGTAACCTTATAGTCACTGAAACTCTGATACCATGTAAAGAACCACTTTAACTCAAAACCTTAAGCTATTGAATAAGGACTTTTTTAATGATTTATATTATTCTCTAACATCTGAATACACTCCAGTAAGGGTAAGAAAAACAATAAAATTATGTACGAAAAAAAATAAAAATAAAATTGTGTATAATTATGATCTCACTCAATTCAGTTCAATAAAAGCTCTTACGTGAATAATAAGAATAGGATAGATGATGTTGGGATGGCAATGATCACAAAGTACAAGCTTGTATCTAGCCTTAAGTGCATGATCTATAGCACAAAATGAAAATTTGAAATTAAAAGTAACAATGGTTTATGTTTAGAATGCCCATTAAGAAACTGGGCCAACAGAAGAACACAACTTGTAATGTTGAGTACAATAAGCGAGCCACAAGGCATCTATCTGATTTTGTAGTCCGACAGTTTCTCTTACTTACGAAGTCCTGCCAACAAACCAATTAGCGTAAGTTAGAAAAGAAATTTGAAAAACATCAAAAATAAAAGTAATGCAAAATGGTTAAAACAAACATTTCATGAAAACACATACCGATGATTGCAGTTTACAGAGAATCAGGCAGCTAAAAAGATAAAGTTATTTTTGCTTTTCTCGCACCCATTCCACGAAATTATCCAGGATTAAGGGCCAGGCAAGTTCAGGATCATAGTCATTAAGCGTAGGGAAACTTATCTGTGAAAAGATGGGAATTTGCAAGTCATTCATATTTTTAACCAAAAAAAATAAGGATCCAAAGAAAGCACAGAAAAGGAAACGGTTAAGAAATTATCGGTGTTACAATAGATATGCATTCATCTTATGTGCTTCTGTGAAAAGGTTAACAAATATCTTCCTTTTGATAATTATCATAACAACAATCAAGAAAATAGCAGAAAAAGAGGCTACCTCATTGCAAAACCGGAAAAATCCCATCCATTGATCCATGTTTATGACCTTGTAATCATTTTGAGTCTGCCATAGATAATAAAAACATGTAAGAATGATTAGTGAGAACTAAAACAATAATGTCAAACCCAATCCTCACCTTCAAATATTCCACAAACGAGTTTACTTGGGCTGGAAATGTTGAAGCCAAAACAAGTGTAAGTAATTCACAAATGCTCTCTATATCAATGCTTTTCTGTTTCTCCTCTGGCAAGATTGGAAAAAATTATATATAAGAAATATAACAATTGAACAAAGGAAAAGAAAAATAAAGGTTAAAATTAATTTTAAAAAAATCACATAAAGTGTACCTGTCAAACAATATTGGAAAGCATAAGAATAGAAATCTGCAAAATTGGATGGCCTCCTGACCTTTACATTAGATGTCAAATTAAAAATGTTAGCAACTCAAAATATTTCCACCATAAATAAGTAACAAATTCCATAAATTAATTTGCCCATGAATTATCACAAAGAATATAACTTAAATAATTTTACCTCTTTTTCAAGGTCTGGAAGTACCTTCTTCAATTTACTTACTGTATCAGCCCTTACTGCTTTTAAGCCTCTCCTCCATTCATCCTAATAATATTTAGGGTTACGTAAGTGATGTTGCTTAAGTGATTTCAGTATAAGGATGGGGAAAGAAAGATATCACCAAAACTACATGATCGTGTAGCAAACATAAAAGAGACTTGAGCATTTGCTTATATTTGTGCCATTATGTCTATATGTGTGTTTGAATTAAAAAAAAAATTGAAATAATGCCAAAAGAAGTTTTACGAATAATGAACATGATAAAATACATACCAAGGTAAAATATCCTTGCTCCTCAGCTTTCATTTTCCTGTGACATTTAGTCTTCATCAACTCCAAACACAAACTTCAGATAAAGATATAACAATATTGTGCCAAAGGATAAGTGTAGCACTGTAGCTTACCATGCAAGCATCAAAATTCTCACATCAGTATGATCCACCTCCATATGAGCACAAAGTGTTTCAATTCCTTCTGGCCTGTAACCAAAGTTTATTACAATATAATGAACGTACTTTCAAAATGTAAAGACATTTACCTAGTGTGTACATGGAAAAAAAAAAGGTCATGTATACACCAAGAATCATTTTCTGTCACTTTCTGGCATTACAAACACATTAATTCCTCTTCATCTGATATTTTAGTTTCTTTTGTTTTCTATTTACATGCACGAGTGATGTCTTAAACATTAAGTGTCAAGTCACCCTATCTTTCTCATGGTTTTGACACCTAAAGGCTGCATTTAGCGTGCTGTATAAGGAGGTCCTGATCGTATAAGCTAATATTATCGAGTCTTGTTTGGTACCTAACTACTAGTATATTCAAATGAGGTCAAAAACTTGATTTGAACAATGGATGGCAAAGGAGTGGGATGTTAAGCTATAACATACCTATAGGGAAGGAAACGTTTGTGCAGATTGGCTTGTGAACAGAATTTTGGATCAAGATGAAGTAGTGATGCACAAATGAGTTTTCTAGTCTACCCTCTGGCTTATCCCCTTTATATTTGAATGATCTCTCATCTGTGAGCAGATCCCAACTTATTTTGGTTCCTTAGCTGTTTCTTTGGTTGGGCTTTTTCCCTCCATTCCACCAAAAAAAAGGTCAAAAACTTTAATTCTATTATAACCTGATAACATTATTCTCTACCCTACCAGTCACCACATGATAAGACCTGATACGATAAGTCGATAACTATTCTCACCCTTCCCCTCAACTTTATCTATCTCACTCTAAGTCTGTTTCTCTGCCAAGACCACCGCAAAACTTGCACTCACTCATAGACATGTCACATGTCAATAAACTTAATTTCAAGTCTACTTACCAAAATCTGCAACCAAATGTTCACTAACCCATATAAAAAATTCCAAATTTCAACCATACAATTTCAACACCTATTAAATGAAATCACATTAATCAGCATGCAATTCCCTTGAACTAAAACCTATAGAGTTCCCAAACAAAATAAATTTCAAAATCATTCCTAACGTCTCCATCCAACTCCAGGAACCACCATCCGTGCAGAAAAAAAAAAATGAAGATTAAGCAGCAGAGAAGATGAGGGCTGCCATTGCCAAAGCACCACCGGTGCCTGAGCTTTTGACCTCCACCAATATGCCTGGGTTGCATGCTAGTCCATGCCAACGCTGTTGAAGGGCTTCACGGCATCCAGGTGAGTATGCATCCCCAGTGTCAGGAACATGATGTGCACAAAGGGAAAGAATGTAAAGGTGGCTGTTTGTCATTGGAACCAGAGGTGGCTGTCCGTCACCAGAAATCCAGAATCCTACACTACTTTTTGTTCATAGCAGGGCAGGTGGAGGGTGTGATGGGCTATGACTAGTGGGCCCAAATTCAGCAATGCAAAGGAGGCCATAGTTAGTTAGTGAATTAGCTAGTTTGTTAGGAAAACTATTCTAGAATATTCCTAAGGTATAGGATAAAAGATAGGTAGTGTGTGTAGTGTAGGAGGCATGTATTCAGAATATTTGGAGTGGGGTTTTGGGAAAGGATCTCTTGGGATCTCTTTGGCCTAGGTATTTTGGCTTGAGAGTGAGTGAGGTCTTTTGGTGTCTATTTTCTACATTGTAATTCTTGTTATTGTTAAGTGTTTAAGTCTGTAATTAGGATGAGGAGCCTTGTTGCTCTGTTTCGTTTACTGCCATTGCTGTGTTACTGCCATTTTCTTGTTATTTCTCAGTATAATTGCTATTGAAATTATAGGTTCCATCAGGGTGCAAAAAGAGGAAGTGGTGAAATTGTGTGAAGTGATGGAGCAAATTGGGTTCAGGCTCAGAGTGTTGCTGTGAGGAATTGGGTAAGATGCTGAAGGAGGTGGAGAAGCTAAAGGGTAGTATAGTCATAGTAGATAGTTATACTACTTATATACACTATTAAGTTGCTTATACTACGTGTACTAAATTCCTGATAGTATAAGAGTTCATCGACTTCTTTATACTATCAAACCATATCAAGAGTACCAAACAGAGGCTAAGAGTATGAATAGTTTAGTATAAGAGGATTAGGGCCATATTGTCATTTTCTCCATACATATACCTCTGTAAAACCTGCTCTGAACTACTTATGAAACTCACCTAGCTATATTAAATGGGCTATAACAATCCATACACAGCAGCACGTAATCGTTTACTATTTACCTCATATATCCATGGCTTAAGTTAGAGATATGAAACAAAAAAAAAATGACAACAGCATAATATAATTAGATTTTATACATTTTTAATTGCAGAAAAAAAAATCTCGTATAAAGCATACTTACTCAATCAAACCAGTAGATCCATTGGCATACGTATAAAACAGACTATCAATTCGTTCTGATTCCTTCGAGCTTGCTTTACTTGAAGCTGAAAAATTGTGCTTGTATGGTTAGAACATTGAAAAATTCATTGCCTGGTCCAAAAGTGCTTTCTAGATATTAGTCTGATTATGTTTGACTAATGGCATAAACACTATACCATAATAGGCATACAAAAAAAGAAAAGACAAGAATAAACAGGTAATATAAACAACATATATGCTTCAAAATACACATGAGCAGGCTCAGAGACAAGAAATTTCCATGTTCCATATGGTAACAATCCAAGTAGATGCAAACAAATTTCTCAGAAGAATCTCAACTTTCTGATTTCCCCACATATGATAAGTAGTCATAAAAGAAGATTCCCTTCGCATGAAAATGTCATTTTCCACCATAAATTTGTAATACATATTAAGCAAAAGGTCAAAATATAAAAGCAATATTGGAATTGTCTTTAATAGTTTTAAGTTTTCACTCAGTTGTGTCGTAAAACTTATTGACAGGGGAAAGTCATGACAATAATAAATAAATTTTCTTTTAAAGATTTTCAAGAAGAGAAAAATGATTTATAACTCAAAAGTTCCATAATAACTTCGTGTACATACTCCATTTTAAAGAGCTCATTTTCTGTGCTCAAGGAGTACATACTCCATGCCCAAAAATGGAAAAATATGGGATATGGTGGAAATAAATATAAAGGCAAGGGTAGTGTAAAAGTGTTATTTTTTACTATATTTGATAAAAAAGAGTACCGAGCACTCTGTGCTGCAGGAGCACCAAATTAGTAAAAACCATAATAGCCTTTCACTTAAGAATAAGAACTTAAAATTTTACGACAGCCCATTTGACATTGCACCAAGGCATCAACGACCAAGTGTTGAAGCGATTGATCCTCACGCCCAATTCTTTTAATCAAAGAGGTTTCATTGTGGCTGTATCGTCCATGCTTCAAGAGTTTGATCATCCATTAATCTTTGCTTGAAGAATTGCAAAATTGACTCAAAAATTTACTAGTAAAAATATGTTTTTTCTTCTCAAGATCTAAATTCTTTCAGTAAGTAGTACTTTAAAAAAAATAAAAAATAAATCTTTCAGTAAGGATTATTATTACTATGCTCCTCCCATGCCACTAGTCCTCTCTTTACCAGCCACCACAATCTCCCAACCCCACAAAATTATAATAGGAAAATTCTTGAAAAATATAATCTTTTTACTGAAAATTTATAAATAATCGAGAGAAATTAACATGCATCAACGAGCAGGACTGACTCTCCCCCCACCCCCCCAAAAAAAGAAAAAAACCTTAACATGACCATAAGAAAAATAAAAAAACCTTCATCTATGTTGTTTTAAATAATCGTGATTAAAATCATTATTAGACAATAGTATGGCCGTGGCCGAAAGCAACGAGCTTAAAAATTAAAATATAAAAAAAAAATTGAAAATTGGAATATGAAAATGGCGTAGTGATGCAAATACCAGAGCGGAAGAGATCGGAATTGACGGAAGGAGTAGAATTGGATTGACCCGTCTTTTTAGATACAGAGCGTCGCATCTTCGATAAGAAATCCAGAGAGAGAGAGAAAGAGAGAACGAACGAACGATTCGAATCGGGTGAGTCGAGCGATGATGGATCGTCTTCGCCCGAACGCACCAAATTCAAGAGAGAAAAAAAGGGGTTATCCCTTTTCTTCTTCTTCTTCTTCTTCTTGGAAAGAGGTTGAGGATGATGACGTGGATCGCAGAACTGGGCTTTTATGATTGTGGTGTTGTGTGGTGTGTTGTGGTGGCTATCTAGTTTAGCTTACGTACTTTGCCCCCTTTACTTTTGACTTTTTTTATTTTTCTTACAATGGATGGATACTCCATTACTCGTCTTAAGATTTTATGTCTCCATGTCTTTATGACATTAAATAAGTGGATCTATCTTCGATTTAGACATACACAACAAAATTTTTGATACAAGGTTATGTGATTTTTGAATATGATATTATACTATCTTTTTTTTTCATACATATTTTGCTTATTGCTTCCTAACATTGTTAGGTTATAATATCAAGAAAGAGAGAAGAGAAAGAGCGGAATCGATATCTCACTTGTTAGTTAATATGACTTTGTCATATACAAAGATGAATTAACGATGAAAGATTTTATAATTACTTATTCTACTATTTTTTCTTTCTCTTGTTCGAATATTGATTTCCTCTAAAATTTATAGTGGTAACCACAACTTATAAATCAAGATCCATTATACTTGTTATCAAAAAAAAAAAAGATCCACTATACTAAATCATAAAGGAATATTAATAGAAAAGTGGAGGCATACATGTGTCCATAACAACGGAATAACTTTGATCTTCTTCTTTGAGGCCTGTCTCCATGGCAGCAAAATAACTTTGATATTTTCCTTTGAGTTATGCGGTTATCCTCATTCAAATAATCCTAATCCTTATTCTTTAGTGTTGTCTCTCTTGATGGAAAATAAAAATTATGGTTGTTATTATTTGACATATTATGAACCATAAACTTTTATAGTGTTTTTTTTATTATCGGGCCAGTAAGCTCTCATTATACCTAATTGGCCCAATATTGGTATTCACGCATTTATCTCACACTTATTTTGAAATTTATTTGAATATCTTTATTTGATCATTTTAATTTACCGAATATATATTAAATAACATAATATAATTATTAATACAATATGTAGCCCACAAATATATTAGGAAAAATAATTTTCTAACATCTCTTTTCTTATCACAATTGATTCCCATTTATATAATTATGATTCTCCTATATAATATGGTCATGTTAATTAACACATAAGGAATCTATCGGAAAGAATTAGATAATATATATACATAAAAAATATAAGTATAATATCATATCTCATAATTTTGTTAGTTTTTAGTTTTTTTGTGAGAGAATCTCTTCTCATCTAAGTACACACACCTAAGAAAATTGTTTGATATTTTTACGATGAGAACATGGGGTTATTAGATCGCTTATGTTAGATTTTATGGGAATACGTGGTTTTCTCCTCTTAGTATAAATTTATAAACCTATTATTATTTCAAATTAATTACCCAACTAATACTTGGATATAAGCCCCCTCCCCTACTCTCTATTACTGTTACAAATAGGCTAATTTTTTTTTTCTTTCTATTGATTAAACTAGTTCTCTATGCTGCCACTATGCGAATGATTCTCCCATTCGGTACACATGTAGAAAAAAGATGTACAAAGGCTATTATCACGGTAGAAGGTCAATAAAGTATGATTTTGTGCAGAATCGCATGAAAACATGCAAAAGAAAGAATCGAGCTGGGAGAAATCTTGCAAGAGGGGAGAAGAAGCAACTTTTGTGAGAATGGGAGGAATATGCGACTGTTATTAGTGCTGCACAAAATCTGAATAACATGAGAGAGTACATCAATAAATTTAGTTTTCAATTATTTTATAAGAGACTTTATAGAAAGTTCATCTCAAAATAAATGTATACTGTAACGTTAAAACTAAACAAATATTTTCCACTAATTTTATAGAAATTTAAAAATAAGATAAAATTAATAAAATCTCTTTCGCTCAAAAAAATAAGATAAAATGTTCTCACAGTAATTTTTTTTTTTTTTTTGCGATATTCCAATCGGTTCATCAATTCGGGGCAGGTTCTGAAATTAAGACTTGAAACCTCTTCTAAAGACGATACTGACGAGTATCGAACACATGCTCTCATCCCCCACATGCTCAATACCCTAAGGCCAATTGAGCTACCATCATTTGGTGAAGTATAATCTCTATGTCCACAATAAGTTAATTTTCATATAATAACCTATCAAAATGAAAATTCATAAAATAAAATTTAGATCTCATCTTCATTCATTATAATTCAATCCAATCAACAATTTTATTATTTATGTTTATTATTCATGTCTAAAGTATGTATATTATAAACAACGTAATTATATTAATTATAGACAATTTATTTTTTTTAATAAAATAATTAATATACTATAAACACACAAAGTATTTAATATGAGGTAGGATCCTTTGACACCAGTGTCAAATTTGAAGTTTGACACCTCATCTGATAGCCGTTAGATCAAAAAAGATCAACGACTCTAATTTGTAAGCATGTGACACCATTGATCTTTTTTGATCTAACGGCTATCAGATGAGGTGTCAAATTTCAAATTTGACACCGGTGTCAAAGGATCCTACCTCATTTAATATTTCATTATTTCACAATATTTCAAATTATATCTCCATATAAATTTAAAAAGTTAATGTATACAACAACCCCTTTGGATACATACAATAAAGATTTTTGCTAATTTACAAATAACAATCTAAATAATCATGCTCAAATAATATAAAGAACTTTATGTTAGAATTTTTAATTCCTCTAAACCTTATGGTGATAACTATCACCTACAAGCCAAGATCCATCATACCAAATCATAAAGAAAAATAAGAACAACATAAAGGTGGAGGCATACCTGTCTCCATTGCAGCGGAATAACTTTGATCTTGTCTCTTGGGGTTTGTAGTCTTCCTCAGTCAAATAACCCTAAAACCAAATTCCTTAGTGTGTCGTCTCTCTCTTGATGGGGAAGAGAAACTAAGGTTGTTGTTTGACGTCTTGGGGACCATAACCCTTATAGTGTTTTTATCTTTATTGTTGGGCCAATAAGCTCCCATTGTACCTAGTTGGCCTAACACCGGTATCCACTCATTCAGCCCATACTCACTTAGGAATCTATTTGGAAATATTTAACTGATCACTTTAATTTACCCAATATATATAAATAGCACAATATAATTATTAATATAATATGTGACCCACAATAATTATTAGAAAATTATAATTTCCTAACAATCTCCCACTTGGGCCACATATTAACTTGAGATAATTATATCGTATATCTTTAGTGCGCAACTGTATGCTATTTTTCTTTAGATTCCTCCTTAGATACAATCTGGTCCACCTCCTATATCAATATGAGATCATGGTGGCTTTTGTCACTTTCAAGCGTAACTAAACCTTCCATGGTCATCGCACCAATATATTCAATGACATAGATCAAGTATGGATGAGTGGCATGGAAATTACATGCAATGTGATCTTACCATGCCTATTTCCAACTGGTCCTACTTTAATCTTTGTGAGATCAATCCTAAATTTTCTGCATACACAAAGCAGAAACACAAGCACAAAATATAATACATTCAGATGGAAAATATCATTGAATTCTTTATTCTGCAGAAAACAAACATAAGAATATTTCATTTATTTATTTACATAGAACACCAACATAAAGAACTCCCACTAAACCGTAGTGTCATCGAACAAAACAACACCCATATGAGCAGTATGCTCGTGAAAGACCTTAGGCACTAAGCCTTTATAGTAAGCGGATCCGCAAGCATGAAGTTCGTCCTTATGTGTTCTATGGAAATCTGACCACTCTGAACTCTTTCTTTAACAACCAGAAACTTTATATCGATGTGCTTCGATTTTGAAGAGCTTCTGTTGTTGTTGGAGTATAATATTGCTGACCTGTTGTCACAATAAATCTTCAGTGGCCTTTCAACACCACTTACTATATGCAGCCTTGTGACAAAGTTTCGCAGTCATACCCCATGGTTGGATGCCTCAAAACAAGTTTCAAATTTAGCGGCCATAGTAGAGGAAGCTACGAGTGTCTGTTTAACACTCTTCCAAGAAATAGCTCTTCCAACCAACACGTAGACATAACCTGACGTGGATCTTTTACTATCTTGGCATCCAGCAAAATCAGAGTCAATATATCCGACGATCTCTAATTCATCTGACCTCCGATATGTAAGCATATAATCTTTTGTTCTCTTTAAATACCGCATAACCCTCTTGGCTGCTTTCTAATGATCCATTCCTGTATTGCTCAAGTATATTCCTAACACTCCCACTATAAATGCTATATCAGGGCGAGTACAAACCTGGGCATACATAAGGCTTCCTACTGCCGAAGCATAAGGTACCTTTGTCATTTCTATCATCTCAAGCTTACTTTTAGGGCATTGGGCGAGACTAAACTTGTCTTCCCTAGATATGGGCGTATCTCTTGACGTAGAATCCTTCATGCCAAATCTATCCAAAATCTTTTCAATGTAGGCCTTTTGTGATAACTGTAGGATACCTTGAGCGCGACCTCGAAGTATCTGTATTCCTAAGACAAAAGATGCATCACCAAGGTCCTTCATCTCAAAAAATTTAGTGAGAAGTTTCTTGGTTTCATGCAGTAAGCCTATATCGCTACTGGCAAGTAAGATATCATCAACATATAGTATCACGAATATGAATTTACTCCCACTGAACTTGTGATACACACAATCTTCCACTAAGTTCACCTCAAATCCATAGGAGATAATAACCTGATGGAATTTGTGGTACCATTGACTAGAAGCTTGCTTAAGGCCATAGATGGACTTTTTTTAATTTGCAAACCATAGACTTTGAATCTCCCAATACAAAGTTTTCTGGTTACACCATATAAATTGTCTCATCAATGTTACCATTGAGAAACACTGTCTTTACGTCCATCTGATGTAGCTCCAAATCCAAATGAGCCACAAGTGTCATTATTGTCCTAAAAGAGTCCTTCGTAGAAATTGGAGAGAAAGTCTCTTTATAGTCTATGCCTTTTTTTTTGAGTGAAACCTCTAGCAACTAGACGTGCCTTATATCTTTTGATGTTGCCATTTGAATCCCTTTTGGTTTTAAATATCCATTTACAACCAATGGGTTTCGCACCTTTAC